ACATGAGGAAGTTAAAAAGCATTGCCGAAACCGGTTTGGCTCAGTGGATAGAGCGTCGGCCTGCGGACTGAAGGGTCCCAGGTTCGGTTCCGGTCGAGGGCATGTACCTGGGTTGCGGGCACATCCCCAGTAGGAGGTGTGCAGGAGGCAGCTGATCGATGTTTCTCTCTCATCGATGTTTCTGACTCTCTATCTCTTTCCCTTCCTCTCTGTAAAAAAATCAATAAAATATATTTAAAAAAAAAAAAAAGCATTGAGAAAACTTACAAAATGTTTATGGTTCTTCTTTCCTACTGTCATTATGAGAAGAAGTCCTGCTGTCCCCTCAGTTTTGAAATATATTAGTATTTTGATTGTGACATGCCTTCAGTATATAGTGGGTCACCTGTGGTCCTTAAATACATGACTCACATTTTAAATCTAAATCTTCAAATAGTACTGCCATCTTTGTTTTGTATATATATAGTTATTTTCAAGGGCAAGAGTCACAACAAAATAGAAACAGTGCACATATTGCCACATATAGGTGGAAAATGTATCACTGAGCCATGACCCAAATAAATGAAAAAGAAATTTGACTGCAGTTCCCCTCCAACCTCCAGCTCCATTACTACTGCATTATTTGATGAACAGGATTGCTTTTGTGTTATTATTCAGGCCCTCAACTAAAAACTAACATTGGCTAAAACATTATTTACATTTGCTTCACCACAACTTCCCAAGATTCCATAATTTTTTTAAAATATATTTTTATTGATTTCAGAGAGGAAGGGAGAAGAAGAGAGAGATGGAAACATCGATGATGAGAGAGAATCATTGATCAGCTGCCTTCTGCACATCCCCCAGTGGGGATTGAGCCCGCAACCCAGGTATGTGCGCTTGACTGGGATCGAACCGGGGACCCTTCAGTTCACAGGCCGATGCTCTATTCACTGAGCCAAACCAGGTAGGGCAATGTTATTATTTTTGAATACTTTTGTTTACATGTCTCAAAAATTAAAACTATTTTAAAACGCTAAAAAATAATTCTCTCTCAGCCCTGTGTTCACCTACTCCTCTACAACCTACCCCTTTGTATTCTCCCAGTGTTTCACTTTTAAGACAGATTTATTGAGATACTAGTGGCCTGGTGCACAGATTCGTGCACATTGAAAGGAAATTAATTAGAAGAAATATTTTAATATTGCTATTCACTCTTTCTTTATAATAGAAGTGTCAGAGATGAAAGAAAATTAGTAAAATGTATATGAAAATAATATATAAATTAATAATAAATAAACAACATGATATAACAACAAAAACATGATATAAAAACAAAACATAATATAAAAACAATATTGATAAAAACCATGACTGATAAATTGATGAAACTTCCTATCTAATAATAGACAAACATGGTATTAACCATACCTCTGCTATGCTTCCATTGGCTAATCAGCAGGATATGCAAATTAACTGCCAACAAAGATGGCGGCCGGCAGCCACGCAGCTGAAGCAAACATGAGGCTTGCTTGCTCCAGTGATGGAGGAAGCCACGGTTCCCCGCCTGCTGCGGCCCAGCTCTAAGCTCCAGATGCAACAATGTTGCAATTACAGAAGCTAAACAAACCCCAGGTACCTGCTTTCAGCCGGCAGCGGGCTCAGAGCTTAGAGTGCCAGTGATGGCAACAGAGTTTCAATTATAGAAGCTAAACAAACCCAGATACCTGCTTTCAGCCGTCAACGGCCTCAGAGCTGGAGCCGGCTCTCAGCTCCAGTGACAGCTATAGAAGGTAAATAAATCCCAGAATAAAAACCAAAAAAGTAAAAAAAAAGAGGCTGGGAGCTTCAGTTGCCTGCCAGCCTGAAAACGGCCCTCAGCCCCTCACCCAGGCTGGCCAGGCACCCCAGTGGGGACCCCCACCCTGAAGGGGCTGTGACCAGCTGCAAACAGCCATCAGCCCGTCATCCAGGCTGGCCAGGCAACCCAGTGGGACCCCCACCCTGATCCGGATCACCTTTCAGGGCAAACCAGCCGGCCCCCACCCGTGCACCAGGCCTCTATCCTATATAGCAAAAGGGTAATATGCAAACTGACCCTAACAACAGAAAGACTGGGAATGACTGGTCACTATGACACACACTGACCACCAGGGGGCAGACACTCAATGCAGGAGCTGCCCTCTGGTGATCAGTGCGCTCTCACAAGGGGGAGCTCTGCTCAGCCATAAGCCAGGCTGATGGCTGCCAGTACAGCAGTGGTGGTGGGAGCCTCTCCTGCCTCTTCAGCAGCGCTAAGGATGTCTGACTGCAGCTTAGGTCTGCTCCCAGCTGGCAAATGGACATCCCCCGAGGGCTGGCGGGCTGCCAGAGGGATGTCTGATTGCCATCTTAGGCCCAATCCCCTGGGGAGCAGGCCTAAGCCAGCAAGTGGTCACCCCTGAGGGGTCCCAGACTGTGAGAGGGCATAGGCCGACCTGAGAGACCCCCTACCCCCGAGTGCACAAATATTTGTGCACCGGGCCTCTAGTATTCTAATATCTCTCTGTATACCACATTAAGAGTAAAAACACTTTCAGAGTGCTTGACTAATTTCCCTGTGATGAAGTATTTACAACTTTAACTTTAACATCACAAGCTCTTGGAACTTGGGAGGAAGCAACATATAACTATGTCCAAAAATGGATTCAGTAGGAATATTCCTACTTTGTCTAGAGCAGGGGTGGGCAAACTTTTTGACTCGAGGGCCACAATGGGTTCTTAAACTGGACCGGAGGGCCGGAACAAAAGCATGGATGGAGTGTTTGTGTGAACTAATATAAATTTAAAGTAAACATCATTACATAAAAGGGTATGGTCTTTTTTTTTTTTTAGTTTTATTCATTTCAAATGGGACAGATCCGGCCCGCGGGCTGTAGTTTGCCCACGGCTGGTCTAGAGTTTGTCCTTGTGATTTATTAATAGTCATCGCAAATGCTGGCATCACAGGAAACTGTAGTCAAATTAATTTAAATGGGAGGCCAGTGTCAGATGGGGACAAATCAATTCTTGGAATCAGAACAACCTCCCCTTCCGCAGACCCTGTTAATACTTCAACTTCAATAATGTTAGGTCACAATCTTTTGATAATAAATCTAGTACCATTATAAAGACCCAATTTACTATTAAGATTTCTCAGTAGCATGATGACTGCACCTACTTTCAATTTTAATTTATAACAAGGCATTCCCAAAGGAGTAATACTATTAAGAAATTTGATCGGAATATTTTCCTTTTCGGCATCATCTGTTGAATCAATGGAATCATCACTCAAATAGGTGTGAAAATCTCCATCAAGTATATCCAAATTCTTTCATTTAATTTATGAACGTGCTCATTTTTAGGACAAAAAAATCGCACGTTTAGATATATTTTTAGTACTATCTATAGATATACTATTTCCAAGAGTAGCTTCAGTAATAGATCCATTACAAATCATTTCACGGGAGATTTCACTAATATCCATCCTATATAATAAAAAGCTAATATGCAAATCGACCGAATGGTGGAATGACAGGTCGCTATGATGCGCACTGACCACCAGAAGCCAGGCTCACGGCTGGTGAGTGCAGCGACGGTAGCGGAAGCCTCTCCCACCTCCGCATCAGTCGGACATCCCCTGAGGTCTCCCGGATTGCGAGAGGGCACAGGCCAGGCTGAGGGACACCCCCCCACCGAGTGCACAAATGTCGTGTACCAGGCCTCTAGTTCCTAAACGAAAACTGCTCTCAAGTTTGCCATCTCCAAGTTTTACTAACCATTTGCTATAAGCAAAATCCTCTGATCTCATGTTTCTTTTAAGAGACAACTGTCTGAAACATCTCCAAACACTACAACACTCAGCCAGCTTTAGAGGTACGTTGTGCCAATAGTTGGTCTTCAGACATATTCTATCAAAGATGCCTTTTTTTCAGCTTCAGAATGTCAACAAAAACAACAAAATTCACGATCAACAGTGACAGATCGAAACACGCATGCGACTGGCACCAGTGAGAGCTTTGTATGTATCGCGCATGCACAAGTCAAGCCAGTATGTGTCACATGTAGTGGCCGGTCTGACAGATGGACGTTTGGTCACTTAGCCTTTTATATATAGAGATACTTTACGTACCACACAATTCACCCATTTGAAGTCTATAATTCAATGGTTTTTAGCATGTTCACAGAATTGAACAATCATCATCACAATCAATTTTATTTATCTTCACCCAAGGATATTTTTTCATTGATTTTTAGAGAGAGTGGAATAGAGGGAGGGAGAGGAAGAGGGAGATAGAGAGAGACCATTGATACAAGAAGGACACATCAACTGGTTGCCTCCTGCACGTACAAGCACAGGTAGGTGCCTTTGACTGGAAATCGACATGACCTCAACCTCATTCCTTTTTCTGCCCTACCCTCACTTTCCAGAACCTCCCAAATAAAGGAACAATACTTTCATCTTTGCCTCAGGTTCTACTTAAAAAAAAATTTATCTTTATTGTTGAAAGTATTACAGATGTCCCATTTTTTCCCCATTGACCTCTTCTAGCCCACATCTACCCCCCACTCCAGGCCTTCACTACACTACTGTCTGTGTCCATGGGTTATGCATATATGCATATAAGTTCTTTGGTTAATCTCTTCCCATCCAACCACCCCCAGAGGACCCAAGTTAATAAATTATGCGAACTGTAATTTCTAGGGTAACCACTAAAAAAATAAAAATAAAGTATGTAATTTCCAAGCTAGTTGAAAAACCTAGAATAGTATAAAAGAATCAATCCAAAAAAGGCAAGAAAGAAGAGAAAAATAAAGATGGAATAGTATCACATAAAGTGAGATAAGAGATTTAAACCCAAATATATCAGTAGGCATTAATTTCATAACCATTGATTAATTTTTATCCTACATTGAATTAACACTTATACTTAATTTCTTTTTATACTAATAATCAATAAAACTAAATCACTGAAAATTATAAATATAATAATGTAACTTAATGGGGGAAAGGTGACATATGTAATACTTTCAACAATAAATAATTATTTTTAAAAAAAGAAAACATTATGACTCAAAAACAATAGAAAACAAAATTAACTAAAAGAACTACTATTGAATTCTAGGGATTGCTGTAGCAGGACACAAATTTTAAAATATAATAAAATATTACATTTTCTTAGCAAAAAAGTTTAAGTCAGATTTTCCTTTTGAACTGCTTTTCATGTTTTAATTGGAGCTTCTTCTAAAGAATCTTTTATTTACAGTTGCAAGTTTCTTTTTAACACATATAATGTGTATTATATGCTGAAATCAAATACCTGAAGGAGTTGGAATAGTATGAATACAGCCAGGACAACAGTGGAGAGAGTCATGAACAAAAACATCACAGTCCACACAGAAAACATTTTGGCACACAGTGCAATGATAGACCTGCAGTGAAAAGAAGAAAAGTAAATTTAAAAAGCAGTTTCTAAACGTTAAGCAGAGCACTCCTAGAAGACACTAAAAGTGCTTTGCTCTTTTATAGCTCTTATCAATTTTTCCCCACCTACATTATTATTTCCAATGTACTATATGTTCTCAAATCTAAGGTGATTATTTTTTTCCAAAAAAATTCCTTAGAAATGAAGAAATAACTTTGTTTTTGAGTCTTAAAGTTCCTTCTATTATGGGACACTCTCGATTATTTCATTTTAAGTAACTATCTGGGGAAGACACAAGCTTGAAATTAGCACTGGTTTTGAAAGCTTAGAGAGGTCATCTGCTGGTTCAATTAAAAAAAGAAGCACTATGGGGGTGGAGGGTGGAGGTGGAAGAGGGTATGGGGATAAATGGTGATGAAAAAATAAAGTAAAATTAATTTAAAATTTTTTAAAAGGAGAAGCACCACAATATAACACAGATTTAGTTATTCCTTCGGTAATGACCTCACAATTGCAAAAGTTACATTACCCTTTTAATCAAACACCTAAAAAATATGGCAAAAGACACATGTGAGACAAATAAAAAGAAAAAACTCATTATTCTATTAGTATTAATTAGTATTTAGATATCTGTGCCTGGGTAAAACTTCCAGAGCAGCATCATACACATACTCAAAAATCATTAAATCCTAAACAGCATAGAAGATGATAGGTTCTTAAAAACTGTCAAATATGCCCTAGCTGGTTTGGCACAGTGGGTAGAGCATTGGCCTGTGGATTGAAGGTTCCCAGGTTCAATTCTAGTCAAGGGCACATTCCCAGGTTGGGCTCAAAACCCAGTAGGGGGCTTGCCAGAGGCAGCTGATCAATGACTTCATTACTGATGTTTCTATTTCCCCCTATCCCTTTTTCTTGATTTCAAAACAAACAAAAAAACTGTCAAATAATTCAAAAAGAGATTCCAGTGAGGATGAAGCTACTGACATCAAAGAGGAATGTAAAACGTAATAATATTGTTTGATGAAATGTGACAGAATAAACAAGCAATCATTCCCACTAACATTTTATATAGTTTACTTACAGAGGTCCTCAAACTACAGCCCGCGGGCCACATGCGGCCTGCCGAAAACATTTATCCGGCCTGCTGGGTGTTTTTGCCGCCGCAGTGTGCATAGGAATTTGTTCATAGTTTTTTTTAAAAACTATAGTCCGGCCCTCCAACAGTCTGAGAGACAGTGAACTGGCCCCGTTTAAAAAGTTTGAGGACCCCTGGTTACTAGATGCCTGGTGCACGCAATTTGTGCATGGGGAGGGTCCCTAGGCCTGGCCGGTGAACAGGGCTGATCGGGCCTTCATTCCAAGCTGCTCCCTGATGGTCAGCGAGCAATCATGTTAGCCTTTTATATATAATGCATAGTTTTAAATATGAACAAGTAAATTAAGAAAAAATTAAAACTAGACAATTATCTATCTTACTTGTGTCTTTATATAAATTTATACATTCAAATTGGCCCCTTTCAAAAAATTTTAAAATATTTTCTTATTGGCCAAATGGGGGAATAACCTTTGATCTGTGGCCATCTTAAGTGGTAACTTCACTTCAAAATGTCTTATGACAGCACTTAAAGCACAATATAGAGAAAAAATATTTACTATTTCCAAACTAAATGCAGTTTAGCTTGCAAACTGAAGACAGTTTAAAGTACTAAAATATATTTGTAGCAAAATTAGAATGCAGAATGACAAATAAATGTTTAAACTATTGTGTTCCATTTTATCTCTACCTATTATTATACTTCTGAGGAATATCCTGATAGGAGTTTGCTCTTCAATAATCTACTGAAAACTTATATAATATTTCTTGTACAATATTTAATATTTAGAAAGTACATAAACTTACATGTTGGTCTTTCAATTCCCCCTGGCATCCATAACAAAATCTGAAAAAGTTTAAGAATCATTTTGTTTAGAATTAACTCATTAAAATAGTTCAGCAAAAGCTCATTAACAAAATACTTTAATTAATAAGTAATCTTACAATTTATTTACACATGACTTTTAAGAGAAAGAGTTAAGAATACCAGTAATTTTAAAAATTCTATGGTAAATTCAGTCATCTAACAGTCAGCCCAAAATCATACTTCAAAAAAAATTTACTTTTCTTTAAGAAGTTGATCCTAGTGATTTCAGCCCATGCATTAAACAGGAGGCAATATAAATGTATAGATTTCATGTTTTCTAAAGGGAACTTATAAACTACTGCAACATGTTATCTATAAAAGCGCCTTATGCCACGTGAAGAGAACCATAAGTTCGGTTTTGGTACTTTTGTTCCTCTTTGTATTCATCTGTATAGTATTTCCAAATTGAAAATGAGAAGAAAAGCTGTTCTGTACCAAATCATCTAAGCAATAAATGTGATATTTTAAAAACAGCAAAAAGAAAAAGTACTTTTATTCTCATCAAGGTTACACATGAGATGCTTTCTCAATTGGGATTGTACAAGGGAATTAAACCCTACAGAAAATGATCTAAGTGACTATTTTTCACCCCTCCTAAAGATATAGACAGCTGGTACAATTCTAGATAAATAGGAGAGGAGTTAATTTATTACCTATAATAGATGCTTATAGGCTTAATTTTCAAGGAATGATTTAGAGTTAATAATTCTCAAAAGTTATTAACAGTTCCCTGCCTATCCTATCCACCCCACACTTCATTTCCAGTTCCCCAGAGCAAACACCTTCAAAACTTTTGTCTAATAGTTATCTATGCATAAAGTGCTATCTCTTGGTTTTTTCATAGGCATTAGTTATGAACCTCTTACTACGGAAGATGAGCATTTAATTCTCTTTTACCCTCTTGAACCAATACTATGTACATGCATAACTAACGTCATTCTCAATTCTATATAGTTAAATCATCTTAGGTAGAACAATATTAAATATTTAGTTTATTATAACTATATAAACATTCAGTTGAGACATGTAATATAACTTTTCTCTCTTTGAAACATTTTTTCCTCGCCCTAACCAGTGTGGTTCAGTTAGTTGAGCATGATCCCATGCACCAAGAGATCGCTGCTTCCATTCCTGGTCAGGGCACATCCTGGGTTATGGGCTCAATCCCTGGTAGGGGGCGTGTAGGAGGCAGTGGATCGATGTTTCTCTCTCTCCATTCCTCTCTCTAAAATCAATAAAAACATGTTTAAAAAATCACTTAAAACATTTTTTCCTAATTATTATAGCCATCCACAAGCTTAGTTTTCTATGGAATTACCATTACCTCAGCCCCAACCTTTCCCTGAGAATTCTAAAGACCCTCTCATTATGTGCAACCACATCAGGAATTATATAGCTTTTGTTCTCTTGGTGACATTTCTCCTGGAACATTTTGACCTTCTCCAAACTGGGCTGATCAATCTCCACATGACATACAAGAGACATTCTGGGGTTTCCATTTATCATCATTGTAGGCTTTTCCTTAGCCAATTTTGAATTAGATAGATATTCCTATTCTCTTTCATTCATTCCCAGTTCCTCTGAAGCATCTCTTCTACAACTACCTCAGAAAATCTCTTTTGAGACCTTACAAGTCTGAAAATGCCTTTATTATTCTACCTACCTACATTTAATTGATATCTTGACTGGGTATATAACTTAGGTTGGTAATAGTTTTCACTATAAATTTTGAAAGAAATTGCTCCTTGTCAGTATCCAGTGTTACTGATGAGAAGCCAAATACTTTTAATTCCAGATTATGTGATCTAATTTTTCTTTTTCAGAAATGTTTAGATTTTGCTTCATATGCTGAAATTTCACAATTATATACTTTAGTGTGGGTGCTTTCCTTCAATAGTCCTTTCAATCCAGAAAGTTTTGTTCATTAATAGTAGAAAATGTCCTTGAAGTATTTCTCTTCTCTTCATTTGATCTTTTCTTTATTTTCATATTATTCTGACATTAGACCTTCTGGATAAATTCTCCAGTTTTACACCATGGAAATTAGCAAATGCTAAAAATTAGGGCTCTTTTTATTTTTGGAGAGCTGGTCTACTAGTATACCACATAGATGGGTTTAGGGAAACTAATAGATTTCTGGAGATCCAGATCTATTTAATGAGTCATTTCAGTCATAACCAAGGCATTATACATCTTGTTTTTTAAAGTAAGAAATAATTTTTCCCAGGTTAATATAACTAAAATGTAGTAACAATGTATTCACACATTACCTCTTACAACATAAATTAATCAAAATGCATATACCTTTCGCCATTATATTCTTCTAGGGGAACTTCTTGAAAAGCATCCAAAGGAAATAAATGATGGTAAGACCGTGCCAAATGGGGAGCAGACACCAAAGTAAGACCTGACATGACAGCAGAGACATATTAGTAGCCCAAACCTCATAAAGACAATGGCTGAACTGTCAAATTATACAACTGAAGCTAAGTATTTTCAAGTGTTTTTTTTTCTTTTTTTTGATTGCAACTATTCATTTCTTCAGTTTACCTGTGGCCATAAAAGGAGATTCCAGAATAGATGGAGTCTTAGTTCTGTCACTAAGCGTGTGACCACTCTTTGCTTATTTGGTCACTCATAAATAAAATAAAATTCTACAATTCTATTAATTTAATTCCTCATTCTTCTTATATATATTTACTTTATGAAGTTAAGAGTTGCAAAAATGTCTATCAGACTTGATTCATTTCCTTTAAAGAATATGCTTTGTGCAAATCAAAACAACAATGAGGTACAATCTCACACCTATCAGAATGGCTATCATCAACAAATCAACAAATGACAAGTGTTGGCGAGGGTGCAGAGAAAAAGGAACCCTCGTGCATTGCTGGTGGGAATGCAAATTGGTGCAGCCACTGTGGAGAACAGTATGGAGTTTCCTCAAAAAACTAAACATGGAACTCCCATTTGACCCAGTGATCCCATTTTTAGGAATATATCCCAAGAAACTAGAAACACCAATCAGAAAGGATATATGCACCCCTATGTTCATAGCAGCAAAATTTAGAATAGCTAAGATTTGGAAAAAGCCTAAGTGCCCATCAGTAAATGAGTGGATTATAAAACTGTGGCACATCTACACAATGGAATACTACACTGCTGTAAAAAAGAAGGATCTCGCCCTAGCTGGTTTAGCTCAGTGGCTAGAGCGTCAGCCTGCAGACTGAAGGGTCCTGGGTTCGATTCTGGTCAACGGCACATGCCTGGGTTGCGGGCTTGATCCCCAGTAGAGGACGTGCAGGAGGCAGCCAATCAATAAGTCAGTCAGAGAAAGATAAATATCACATGATCTCACTCATTTGTGGATTATAATGAAAATACACTAATGAACAAAAACTGACCCAGAGACAGAGAAGCATCGATCAGATGCTTTCCTCAGAGGGAAGGCAGGGGAGGGTTGGGATAAAGGAGAGAGATCAACCAAAGGACTTGTATGCATGCATATAAGCATAACCAATGGACATAGACATCAGGGGGTAAGGGCATGAGCGGGGGTGTGGGGGTGGCGGGGCAATGGGGGGATAAGGACACATATGTAAAACCTTAATCAATAAAAAAAAAAAAAAGAAAGACTATGCTTTGTTCAGAAAGAGAATCAGGAAACTCTTCTGGAATGCCATGTTTGGTCTTAGAAATGGAGTACTGGGCACTCAATAAAAAGTATTCTAGCCCAGCCAGGTGGTTCAGTTGGTTGGAGCACTGTCCCGTACACCAAAAAGGTTGTGGGTTCAATTCCTGGGTCAGGGCACATACCTAGGTGGTGGGTTCCCTCCTGGTCGGGGCATACAGGTCATGCTTCTTTCTCTCCCTGCCCTTCCTCTCTCTCTAAAATCTATTTTAAAAAATATCCTCAAGCCAAGACAGACTGTGGAATCTCGAGGGAAGGAGAGGATGGGTGGGTAGGTGGGAAGAGATCATCCAAAGACCTTGTATGCATATTTGCATAACCCATGGACACAGACAATAGAGTGATAAAGGTCTGGGGGTGGGGGGGGAGTGGGCGGAGGGCCAGAAGAGGTCAACGGGGATGGGGTGGGGGGACAACATATGTAATACTTTCAACAAAAAATACTTTTAAAAAATAAATAAAATAAAAAAGTAATTTATTTCTCTTCTCACAATAAATCTAGAAATCTAGGCAAAGCTTAATATTTACATCTATTTTAATAGCAATATAGGTGAGAAGTTATTAAAAATTAGTTTACTGAATTAATAAGTAGTTGGTTTCTTACCACAGATTTTACATTCAACAGGAAGCTCACAATACTTTGCCCGACACTGTGGGCAGAAATAGCCTCCTAATGTAAGTCCTGGCTCAGTATTGCTATCCAAATGCCTGTGGGGAGAAAAACATTACCTTAAAAACATGATATATAAAGATGTGAAAAGTTAGAGCAAAAGAAAGTATGCTACCTTGATTTTAAAATCTTGAAGTTGTTTCATAGCTCACTTATGTTCATTTTGGGTTTTTTCCTGTCTGCATTTTTTTAAAATTAAATATTTATTGTTCAGATTATTACAGTTGTTCCTTTTTTCCCCCCATAGCTCTCCTCCACCCAGTTCCCACCCCACCCTCTGCCCTTACCCCTCCCACTGTCCTCATCCATAGGTGTACGATTTTTGTCCAGTCTCTTCCTGCACCCCCACACCCCTCTCCCCGCAAGAATTGTCAGTCCACTCCCTTTCTATGCCCCTGATTCTATTATATTCACCAGTTTACTCTATTTGTCAGATTTTTTATTCACTTATTTTTAGATTCATTTGTTGATAGATATGTACTTGCTGTTCATAATTTTTATCTTTACCTTTTTCTTCTCCCTCTTCTTAAAGAATACCTTTCAGCATTTCATATAATACTGGTTTGGTGGTGATGAACTCCTTTAGCTTTTTCTTATCTGTGAAGCTCTTTATCTGACCTTCAATTCTGAATGATAGCTTTGCTGGATAAAGTAATCTTGGTTGTAGGTTCTTCCTATTCATCACTTTGAATATTTCTTGCCACTCCCTTCTGGCCTGCATAGTTTCTGTTGAGAAATCAGCTGACAGTCGTATGGGTACTCCTTTGTAGGTAACTGACTGTTTTTCTCTTGCTGCTTTTAAGATTCTCTCTTTGTCTTTTGCTCATGGCATTTGAATTATGATGTGTCTTGGTGTGGTCCTCTTTGGATTCCTTTTGTTTGGGGTTCTCTGTGCATCCTGGACTTGTAAGTCTATTTCTTTCACCAGGTAGGGGAAGTTTTCTGTCGTTATTTCTTCAAATAGGTTTTCAATATCTTGCTCTCTCTCTTCTTCCGGCACCCCTATAATTCGGATGTTGGTACGCTTGAAGTTGTCCCAGAGGCTCCTTACACTACCTTCTTATTTTTGGATTCTTTTTTCTTTTTGTTTTTCCGGTTGGGTGTTTTTTGCTTCTTCGTATTTCAAATCTTTGACTTGATTCTTGGGATCCTCTTGTCTGCTGTTGGATCTCTGTATATTATTCTTTATTTCAGTCAGTGTATGCTTAATTTCTAGTTGGTCTTTTTTCATATCCTCCAGGGTCTCACTAAATTTATTGGCAGCTTCTAGAAAATTCTTGAAAAACCTTAAAACCATGGTTTTGAACTCTATGTCCAGTAGTTTGCTTTCCTCCATTTCTGTCATTTGTGACCTGTTTCTTTGTCTCCGCATTTTTTATGCTTCCCTGTGTTGGTAGAGTGGCTTTGTGTGCTAGGTGTCCTATAGGGCCCAGTGGCTCAGCCTCCCCAATTATCTGAGGTGGATACTCTTGGTGCACCCCTTTGTGGGCTTTGTGCACAGTATTGTTGGAGTTAAGCCTTGATTGTTGTAGGTATCACTGGGAGGAATTGACCTCCAGGCCAATTGTCTGTGAGAATCAGCTGCGTCTAAGGTGGGAGAACTTCTGTGCTGAAGACACCCTTCTGGGGAAAGACTTGCTTCAGTGGGGCTTTGGTGCTCACTAAGTCTGCCCCCTGAGTGTGTCCCTTATGGATCTGAGGAGTTGTAATCTGCATGGTCCCACTCTGACCACTGGGTACACTGGCTCTTGGATCTCTAAGGAGGTGCTAATTTAGCCTCTGCCTGAGGCTACCCAGCAGCTGCTGTGGGGCCTTGGGCCTTCTCTTGGAAGTTCTGGGTCTGTCTGGCCCAGCTGCAGTTTATTAGTTAATTTTCAGATTACAAAGGGCCAGGGCATTCATATGCAAAAGCCTCTGCTCACAGCTTGGGTGGGGTGGGGTCTCAGGGAATCAACAGGGCAGAGCAAACAGCTATGGCTGATCCTCAGCCCTGCCCCTGGTCTCAGTGTCCCACGGTAATCACTGCAAGCACCTCTGAGAGAAAGCTGCCCTTGAGCTCCGACCGATGCCAGACAGTCAGTTTCTCCCTGTGTGAGTCTGGGACCCCAGAGACTCGCCCAGAACTGGAGTTCAGAGCAGTCGGGAGCCTGTGACTCCCTCCCAATTGAAAAAGACAACCGCGTCCTCAGTTGCCAGCCCTTTCCACGTGCGCCTCCGTACCTCTGCACTTTACTTCCGCACCTCCTCTGAGTCTCAGTGTGCTTTTCTCTTTCCTTCTAGTTGTAGAATTTCCACTCAGCCAGCCTTCCTGTAGTTCTGGATGATGTCCGTTTTGTCTTTTAGTTGTATTTTTGAAGTTGTTGTGGGAGGCAGCAATTTCCAGTGTTTACCTATGCCGCCATCTTGGTTTTTCTCCTCTTTTGGTTACTACTTGAATGGATTATTTTTCTGTTCTTTTACTGTCAACCTATGTGTCTCATTTGATATTAAGTCTCCTGTCTGCATTTTTGTTTTGAACAGTTTCCATTAATGTCTTTGAATTCACTAATCTTTTCTTCTTCAGTGACTAATTTGCTGTTAAATTTTTTATCTTACAAACTGTATTTTTCATCTCTAGAAATCTAAATTGGGTTTTTTTCCCCTATCTTCCATGTCTCTTATCATGCTCATATTCTTCTCTACTTTCCTGAACATATGGAATATACACATACATACATACCTACCTATCTATCTTTTAACACTTTGTTTACTAATTCTGTCACTTGTTATTTCTGGATATGTTTCCATTCTATGATTTTTCCCCTTTTTATGGGTATTTTCTGACTGCATGCCTGGTAATTTTTGATTGCCTGCCAGGCATTGTGAATTTTGCTTTGGGGTGGTGGACTTCTTTGTATTCCCTTAAGTATGGTGAGGCTTTTTCTGAAATATATGTAAGTAAATTGAAATAGTTTGATCTGTTCAAGACTTGCTTTTAAGTTTGTTAGGCTGCCCAGTGCAGCCGTTAGTCTAGTGTTAATTTGGTTCCATTACTTTGGACTCTGTTCAATGCTTATTATGTTAAGAGGCCTTTCCAAACTGACTGGTGGGGATATAAACTACTCCCTGCCCCATGTGAGCTCTAGGGATTGTCCTGCCAGCTCCTGTCCACTGGCTCTTTCCATAGCTCCAGGAGTTTGCTCACAGTGACTCATGAGGAAGTCCCTGTAAATCTTGAGAGCTGTGTGAAGCTCTTTACACTCTAGTACTCTGCCCTACAAAATAACAGCCATTTCAGCCTCCCTAAACTCTGAACTTGGTTTCTTCAACTGAGCAAGACCTCCAGGCTCTGTGTGGGTTTTCCTTCCCTATACTGCAGCCTGGAAATTCTCTCTAGATAGTGAACTGCAATCAGAGGGCCGATGTCTTTTGTTTCCCTTCTTTTAGGGATTCTTATCTGTACTGTTTCCAATATCTGAAAACGGTTGTTTTATATATTTTGTCTGGTTTTCTAGCAGGAGGCAAGAGGGTAAATCCAGTCCCTGTTACACCTTATTTATACCTGGAGACAGCAATCTTTTTTATAATATTTAAAATTACTTTCTTAAATTTACTAGTAATTTTATAATTATGTAAAATGTAAAGCTCCAAAGTTAAAACAAGGTATATGCAGAAAAGTCTATGATCTATCTCTTTGCCTTCCTCCACACACCTAGGTAACCATTTTTTAGTTTTCCCTTTTGATTTCCATTACTATTTTTATTATTAATATAAGCAAGTATGTATATCTACTCTAATTCCCTCCCTCTTCTTAGATAACTGGTAGCATTCTATACACTTTTCTCTACCTTGTTTTACTTAGTAATACACTCTAAATATTACTGCATAGGAGTATAGAGAGATAGTTCTCACTCCTTTTTACAGCTATATAGAACGTAATATTTTACAAAAGCCATTACATTTCAAGCCCATCTTTTTCATTTGTAACTTATAGAAGGGAATTAAAACTATAAAAACATCATCACTGACAGTTTCCAGGTTTTTACTTACGCCATGCTGAAAGAGGGCTTTGCATCTTGATCAGACAGAGAAGCAACGGTATGCTGAGGAAATCCTTCACAGAAAAAATGTATTACTTCCTTTTTCCAAGCAAATAACAAAATTCTAGGACCAGAAACTAAAAAAGTTCCTACCACAAAGCCCACACAGTTGTACAAAAGTTCTCTTTCCTGCCTTTAGTTATGTTTAATATAGCGTGGTCAAACTGACTGTAATTCCAGGTTACAAGAAAAATAAAAGTGAAGGAAATGGGAGAAAGATCTGTCCACACATATGACTTCAGATTTTCAAGTTCATATCTAGATTTTCTAATTTAATAACAACACATATTGCTTTTTAAGAAGAAAATGTAATTTTTAAATAGTTACTGATACAACAGAGGAATCTATTGCTTAATCTACTTTCACTTTATATAAAAATATATGTCCCTGTTTAAAATTTTGGAATATCCAAACACATGTAATGTGCTTTTCACATATATTTTTCAATTTGAAGACAAACCCAAGAAAAACATAAACCATAAACAAAAAGGTATTTTATTACATAAAAATGTTAAATATATGTACATATCAAAACAAATTTAAGGTAAATGACCAACTGAAAAAATATTTACATCAGGTGATAGAAAATGGGTTGATATTCCTAAATGGCTCTAACAAATTAATTTGAAGAATAAATTATTATAAGATTAAACAATAACTTTAAAATGGGTTAAGGGCCAAAACCGGTTTGGCTCGGTGGATGGAGCGGCGGCCTGCGGACTGAAGGGTCCCAGGTTCGATTCCGGTCAAGGGCATGTACCTGGGTTGCGGGCACATCCCCAGTGGGGGGTGTGCAGGAGGCAGCTGATCGATGATTCTCTCTCATCGATGTTTCTAACTCTCTATCTCTCTCCCTTTCTCTCTGTAAAAAATCAATAAAATATATTTTAAAAAAATAAAATAAAATGGGTTAAGGAAATGTATCATCTCAAAAAAGATTAGCCAAGGGACACCCGGAACTTATTTAAACTCTGTTGCAGTGCAATAAACCGGGCCCGGTGCCCCCACTGACCAAAAAGAAAAGATTAGCCAACATACTCTCTCAAATGTATTGAGTGTTGCCCAGCCGGTGTGGCTCAGTGGCTGAGTGTCGGCCCATGAATGAGGAGGACACATGCCGGTGTTTTAGGCTTGCTCCCCAGTAGGGGGTGTGCAGGAAGCAGCTGATCGATGATTCTCTCTTACCACTGATGTTTCTATCTCTCTATCTCTCTCCCTTCCTCTCTCTAAAATCAATAAAGATATATTAAAATGTATTGGGTGTTTATGGCAACCATTATTCTAAATGCTTCATCTGCATTAACTCAATCCTAGCAATACACAAGACAGATACTAATCTCATTTTACAGATGAGGAAATAGGAAAGAGCTCTTGACCAGCACTATAAATGCCACAAAACAAGGCAGAAAAGCATTCCCTTTCACTTACAGGTAAAAAAAAAATGCATATTAAGCAAGGAGATTCTTCTTATATTTAAAAAGTTGTATCTTTTTAAATATAAATGTAATGAATGATTATAAAATTTTTAGAAAATAAAGAAAAACAAAGAATTTTTTACATGATACAAAACCCATCATTCTGTCTCCTGAAAAAAATCACATTGAGCAATTTGATGTAACTTCCTACAACCTTCTGTGTCTTTTCAATTTGTATTACACAGCTTTGATCAAACAGTACTGAGCGTTTTGTAGCTTATTTGTTAAATTTCCTAGTATAAGGATTTTTCTATAAATACAGTGTCTTTAAACCTTTCGCGCTGTAACAATAAAAACCAGTAGTGTTCTCTGAGTGATAGGACTACAAATGGTTTTAATTTTCCTTTTATAACTCTGTATTTCCCAAAATTGCTTCACCAGCATAATTTTCTCTAATTATAAAACATATGGGTTTAAAAAATCTTAAATGTTAAAATAACTTGTGCAAATGAAAATAGAAAGTCTAGTTTAAGCCAAAAAATATATATGTGTTAAATGTCTATTTTAAAATAAACACTTACCCATACGAATCAGTGAGCACTCAGAACTTGAGCTAGCAGGAGGAGGACTAACATGATGTGTTAGCAATTCTTTGTAATGGCTTTCATCTAAAATAACATGGTATGTGCCTAACAAGATAAAAAGCAAAATAAAATAAAATCTGCTTTCCAGAGAGAATAATGAATTATATAATTTCTATGTATTTCTATAAAAACATTTAATTATCATTTTTCAAAAATCTTATTTAAATAATATCTTTACTTGTCTTCTCTAGGAATAATTATAATTACAATTTAATTAAAGCCAAGTTATAAGATCTTTACAAAGTATTACATCTAATGAAATTTCTAGCTTTTCAAGAGTATACTGCCTTTGCACACTGACATAATTTCTGAAAATTCCTTGCATTTTGAGACATCAACAGAAGCAATGATATATTTAAGATGACTACCCATATTTTGGACTTCAGGACATGAACTGTTTAATTAAAGCTTAAAAAAGGCTAAAACATCCAATTTAATTAATAGCTTGTTACTTCTTACATAGTAATTATGAGTAAATATTGAAGATTCTAGATATATACCACCAGTTTCACGAGCAAGTACAGTGCAAACCCGAACTTCTGCAGACAATCCAATAACAGACACTCTAATTTTAGCTGTCTTTAGGGTCTTCATAAAATCCAAGGAAATGGATGGTTTGGGGGGAAGAAAAAAAGAGCATTAAACAATTAGTGTTTGAAAAATAAACAGAATGCTCTGAAAGCTTGTAAAACTTACAAGAATTAATTTACAGATTACAAAATCTATGTATATAAAAGCCTAAGCGACTGGCCAACCAGCCAACTGTCTGAGTGGCTGACCGACAGCTATGATGTGCACAGACCACCAGGGTCAGATGTTCAACACAAGAGTGGAAACCACTACAGAATTTTCTTTAGAGTTGTAATTTTGGTTGTGATTATAAAATTATTGTATCTACCTTGATTAGATCATAGATATTAGATGGATCACAAGTTGTGAGGCTGCTAAAGATGATTAGGACTTCTCTACTTGTATGCCCAGGCATGTGTCTAAAGAAAGACAAAATACAATCCAATTAGGTACAACAAATTACAATAATATAGTTTACCCAAAAAGGACAGTATACATGGTTTATAAATTTAGACTACAGAATATTTCATTTGTTTCAACACTGCAAAGAAAGGGATTAAAAATTCTTGTAAGTTTTAGGGATAGAGAGATAAACAAGACTGACAAAGTTTCTTTTTTTTTCTTTTTTTAAATATATTTTATTGATTTTTTACAGAGAGGAAGGGAGAGAGATAGAGAGTTAGAAACATCGATGAGAGAGAAACATCGATCAGCTGCCTCCTACACATCTCCTACTGGGGATGTGCCTGCAACCAAGGTACATGCTCCTGACCGGAATCGAACCTGGGACCCTACAGTCCGCAGGCCGACACTCCATCCACTGAGCCAAACCGGTTTCGGCTGACAAAGGTTCTTGACATCATTAATCTTACATTTCAGTAGATTTGTTTCATACGAAATCTAAAGGGTACATTGGAAAGTACAATAATACCATATGGGTCAATTTTAGGATGTGCCGGAAGCCGGTCCATCCTTGCTGCTTGACACAGTCGCTGCAGGAAAGAAACATCTGCACAGCATATGTTTCAAGGGACCTGGCATATATAGCATACTGTTCTTAATATGTTTGCTCCCCTTAGCGCTGTGTGTTTTAACCAAGGTCACCTCTCCGAGAAAGGTTGTTTCCCCAGGTAGGAATTTTTCCCTGAAGTCAGGGAGGGGATGCCTCTCCTAGAAAGGTTGTTTCCCCAGGTAGGGATTTTCCCCTGAAGTTAGGGAGGGAATAAAACCTCTTAACTAAGTGCCAGGCGGGTAATTAATCACTTTAACTACAAACAATCATGCTTAAGCTACATAATCTTTACTCCCTGGAATGGAGATAAGAAACGCCCTAACCTTTGTAATAGAGATTGATAGGATTGAATCAACTGGTATAAATACAGATGTAATAAGACAGCAAGACAGAACTTAGAATACAGAGCTTAGAACACAGAACTAAGAAGACAGAACCTACACTCAGAACCTCAACACAGAACCTACACAGAATCTAGAGACAGAACCTAGCGAGAGAACATGGCAAAAGATCCTGGACTGAACCTGACTACAGAAATTGGCAAGAGAACCTGACTAGAAACTGGTGACTGAACCTGGCTGGAGAACCTGGACAGAACCTGGCTGGAGAACCTAGCGAGGGAACATGGCCACAGAACCTGGCTGGAGAACCTGGAGAACCTAGCAAGAGAACATGGACACAGAACCTGGCTAGAGATCCGAAGCAGAACCTCTCTGGAGATCCAGACCAGAACTTGGCTGGAGATCCTGGCTGGAGATCCTGGCTAGGCTGCTGATCAACTGAACACTGTCTCCGTGTCATTCCTCCTTCGCCGACTCCGTCCACACCTTTGGGGACCCCTGGACCGGCTGGGGTTGGACCCCGGCAAGGATGTATACATGTGGCTTGACAACAGTAATGTACTTCTTTTTTAAAGTTCAGAGTGATTCAGAGTCATAATAAGCATAAACATTAATTTTTGTGTACCATTTATTGATTTTTTTTTTTTTTTACAGAGAGTAAAGGAGAGAGATAGTTAGAAACATTGATCAGCTGCCTCCTGCACACCTCCCACTGGGGATGTGCCGGCAACCAAGGTACATGCCCCTGACTGGAATCGAACTTGGGGCCTTTCAGTCTGCAGGCAGACGCTCTATCCACTGAGCCAAACTGGTTAGGGCCTTGTGTACCATTTAATTAAATGATGGCTTATGGACTTTTAAGATGTGATAAGCAGTTATCCCCTATACTAAATAGAGATTTCTACACTTTTAGGAGCAATTTTATCAGTTATTTATAGCTAATCTTCCTTATTAGGCTCTTAGCTTTCACTTGTGGATGTTGCAATGGTGCCTACCTTTATTACACATATTACCTTCTCATCTACTTTGAAATTAGAAAAATATCTATTATATAAAGGTATAAAAACCTGAGTCAGGACAGATTAGCCAGGGACAAAATATATGAGCTTTAACTATACTGAATACTTCCTCGTGGGTCTAAGTTATATTCCATATAGTTGAACTTGTTGGAAAAGAGTGCTATTAATTTACAGATTACAAAATCTATGTATATAAAAGCCTAAGTGACTGGCCAACCAGCCAACTGTTTGACAGGCCGACCAATAGCTATGATGTGCACTGACCACCAGGGGCAGATGTTCAACACAAGAGTGGAAACCACAGGCATGGACACATGGAACAGACTGATGAATCTCAGAGGGAAGGGGAAAGAGAGGAGGGTGAGGAGAGATTAACCAAAGATCTTATATGCATACTAGAGGCCCAGTGCATGGATTTGTGCACCAGTGGGGTCTCTTGGCCTGGCCTGTGCCCTCTAGCAATCCGGGAACCCTCAGGGGATGTCGGAGAGCCAGTTTTGACCTGATCCCCACAGGCCAATCCAAAGGACCCCACTGGTGCACAAATCCATGCACTGGGCCTCTAGTAAGCTAATAAAAGGCAATAAATATACAATAAACTCAAATTATTACACCACATTAAATTCCACATACAATGAATTTTCAATAAGATAGTTTTTCAACAAAACATTTCTTTTGTAATACTAACGTTGCTACAATTTTAATTATATTTTTCTAAAACCTCACCAATTAAAATATAAAAGTTAACACCACACTAAACATCATAAATGACATTACATATTTCTCTTAATAATGATTTCATTATAGCTGGATTTATAGAGATACATATTAACATATTATCCTTTCAACAACTTATTCAAAACACTTTGAGATCAAATATGTAATAAATATAAAACACTAACTTTAGAGTTTGCATAGCCATGTTTAAGGAGTTATAAAGAGATGGCTCTCCATGGCAGGTCATATCTACAGCTTTCTTCAAAGATGTTATATGTTTTCTAGGGTTTCCTAAAATAGAAATGGAATAATTTACTTTTATTTTTAATTTTATTTATTTTAGTTACAGTTTACATTCAATATCATTTTACATTAGTTTCAGGTGCATAGCATGGTTGTTAGACAATCATATAGTTTACAAAGTGTATCCCTTGTTAATTTACTTTTAATAAAACTCTATTTATACATTATGGAATTTATGTCTCTCCCAAAATTTACATATTTATGTTAAAGAACAGAATCCTTTCAATTTATGTCTTTAGCAACTTGCATTTTTATGAGAGATGTTTGTTATATAGTCTCACTTCACACTAAAAAAATATAGTAAGTCCACACTAACGTTGTCGATAGGTTCTAAAACTTTAAACGAAACAATGTAAAACGAGACTGATTTTACTAATTGATATAAACAAGAGTTAAGCTCCTACAGCATCTCATCACTGCTATAATGAAATGATGCTGAACTTAATGTTATTCAAGGATCTGCTGTACAAATCGCTTTTTACCTATTAGCACACAGTTTAAATAATATTAACCTAGAGGGCATAACTTTTTTACTTTTACTATTTCCCTATTTCATCACTTTTAAGACTAACATATGTTCACATTTTACTATCTCTGAAATCATGCTGTGTCTTACATCACTGGCAGCCACACAGCATGTGGAAACCTATGAATGGCTATTGATGTGTTGTATTATGTACTGCATTATGTACATTGTTTGTGCTATTCATATCAAGTTTAACTGTGATTTAAAGTGTTTTTTAGAAAGGTTATTAATACAAAAGGTTAAATCTTTATGTAGAAAGACATGGCACAGAGCAGTGAGGTGTAAATTTGTACTAGTCAAGCAAAAATTCATTGATAGAAGAATGTCTGCAATTCTACATTTTTCTTCAGGGGAAAACCCCAAGAGCTTTAAAAAACCTAAGGAGGATTTCCACAAATATACAAAGCTGTGTTATCTTCTCTTATAGAAATAATTTCTATGAAAAAACTCTCCATCTCAAGCCAAGTTATAAAATGAAGGGAGGACAAACTGCCAAATTCTTTAGAATGGTTGATAACACATTAAATCATTAAGAAGCTGATATGAACAAGTCTCGTATCACTGATCTTGTGTCAAAGTTTAATTGCTAGTGTTTCCTTCTTTTTTTTTAATCCTCACCAGAGGACATGCTTAGAGAGAGGAAAGGAGAGAGAGAGAAAGAGGGAAACACCGATGTGAGAAAGAAACATCAATCAGTTGCCTCCCTTACATGCCCTCACTGGAGACCAAACCCACAACCCAGGTATATGCCCTGACCAGGAATTGAACTGGCAACCTTTCGGTACACAGGATGACACTCAAACAATGGAGCCACTCCAGCTGGGCGGTGTTTTCTTCTTGATGGTATCTCAAAAATTATGAAATTTGAGATTCAATGAAATATAGTATTTTTCAGACATTTTCTCCTATTTTAACGGTTTTCATATTAAGTAATGATAATCAAAACTCACCGCATGGCCACTGTGGCTCAGTGATTGAGCATCGACCTATGAACCAGGAGGTCATGGTTCGATTCCTGGTCAGGCAGGGCACATGCCTGGGTTGCGTGTTCGATCCCCAGTGTGGGGCATGCAGGAGGCTACGGATCAATGATTCTCTCTCATCATTGATGTTTCTATCTCGCCCTCTCTCTTCCTCTCTGAAATCAATAAAAATATACTTTAAGTAAATAAGTAAAACAGTTTATCTTAGCCCTGGAACATACCCAGGTTGCAGGTTCAATCTCTGGTGGGGAAACAACCAGTAATGTCTCTTTCTCTCTCTCTCTCAAACCAATTCAAAAATATATATCCTTAGGTAAGGATTAAAAAATAAAGATACACACACACAATAAAAACAGTTCATCTTTGATACCAAATTTAATAGAGAATATACAGGAAGGCCTAATTTTACTTACTAGGCAAACTTTTGAATAGGGTTACAAGGCTGAGTAAATAAAGTCAAGTCCTTGAGTCCTATAAAGGTAATTTTATGCATACCTGAGAGTTCTGTCAGTTTTTCCGCTCTTTTACTCTTTGTCACAATAATTCCAATCTAAAAATAAAAACAAAAAGGATAATTAATTTAACAAATTACTTCTTGGTAAGAATGTACATTAACATAAATTAGTGTTTACAAAAGGAATAAGTAACATGTGAGAAACCTTTTTTCATGATGCTTTAGACATAAATTTAGCTATGAGTTCACTGTACATAATTTAACTTTTAGAGTTATCTTGTTTTTCATTGACAAATGTACTAAAAACTGGTACACAGTCTGAATCACTTAATAATTTATAGAACAGATGCCCAATGTTTTAAAAATAAATTTTCTTTGGCAGTAATATCAGGAATCTAATTCTGAATTCCATCACTTATTTACATACCTGACTAATAGGATTTTGATCAAAATATTCCTCTACGAAGTATTCCAACAACTGTTCAAATAAAACAAAAGGTAATACCAGGTAAGAGCAAAATAACAACCGTAGGGAACATATTTTGGGAAACCTATTTATCAAGCATGATTTTTAAGTTATTAGATTTTCAAAAATGTTCAGTAGTAAAAATATTAAATAAAAAATGATAAAATTTAGCTCTGGCCGGTGACTCAGTTGGTTAGAGCATTGTCCCATGCTCCAAATACAGGTTCAATCCCTGGCTGGGGCACATGCATACGGGAGACAACAGAATGATGTTTCTTTCTCACATCTATGTCTTTCTCTCTCTCTTTCCCTCCCTTCCTTTCTCTCTAAAATCAATACAAATATATCCTCAGGTGAGGATTAAGTAAATAAAACATATGAACTTTTTTCTCTGGAGTTTTTTAATTAATATTTTCAGACTGCGGTTGACCATGGTAACTGAAACTGAGGATAAGGGGTTCGGGGACTACTATAATTAGCTATTTTGGTGTATCATTTTCTAAATGACCTGGTAGCGCTTCTACTTAGCTATAGCTTGTATTAACTCAAAAGAAAAAGAAAAAAGAAGATTGTATGTAAAAAATTTCCTTTTACCTTTAAAGTACATGTCAGTCTATTCGGCTTTAAATCTTGGTCTTCCATTGTTCTTGACCCATCTATTACCACATAAAGATGGCGCATCTACAAAAAAATACAAAGAAGGACAGTTTTCAAATACTTTTTTGACCAAGAAGTAAAAATGGCATTTAGTACTCACATAGTCTATATATTTTTTTAATATGTTGTTTTAAAAGGTTTGTTTATTCTATCAAGGCAGAATGCTTCTTAACCCCAAAATAGTTCTGTACCAGTAAAAGAAAAAATAACATACCATTCCAAGTCGAACTTGTCCATGGTGCTCAAATACTCTGTTAAAATTATGCAAACATTTTAATGGACTACCATATACTGCCCCCCAAAATCAATACAATGCTTTAACTAGCCTGCATTTATTTAGTAAATTATTAACTTATGGAAGCCACATAATTATAAGCATTCTGGATAGTCCCTAAAGACCCATTTCCCTGCTGAAGTACTAGGTTCCTGGTTCCTTCCCCGTTTAGGTTACAGGTCAAATTCCTTGAAACACTGGTGAAATTAAGTACTGAGGAGTGGGTATAGGTGCACAGAAAAGCTTAAAGAAATATATTTTAGCTTTTGTAACATACCTACAAAAAAGTTTACATACCTTTTTCTCTTTGCTTTGAAGAGAATGTCTTCTATTGTAGCTTTCAGTGATCCTGACTCATCTTCTTTAAGAATCTCCCTATAAACAGTAATGACTTGTTTAGAAAGATAAGCTAAAAATTTATTAACCCAATAGAAACGAAAACATATGTCCATATAAAGATCTGTATGTAAATGTTCACTGGTGCATTATTCATAACAGCCAAAAACTGTAAGAAATCTAAATGTCTATCGACTGATGAACAGATGAGTAAAAATATGGTATAACAACAGAATAGAATATTATTCTCCAATAAAAAAGAATGAGTTATTGATATATGCTACATGAATGAACCTTGAAAATAGCATTTTAAAAAAATTGATTTTAGAGAGAGAGGGGAAGAAAGGGAGGGAGGAAGGGAAGGAGGAAGGAAGAGAAAGAGGGAAGGGAAGAAGGGAAGGAGAATGAGATGGCAGAAGGAAGAGGGAGAGAAACATTGATTTGTTGTTCCACTTATTTATGCATTCATTGGCTGCTTCTTATTTGTGCCCTGACCTAAGAACAAACCTGCAACCTTGCCCTGGCTGGTGTATTCAGTGGTTAGCATTGACCCATACACTAAAGGGTCAAGGGGTGCATTCCCTGTCAAAGGGCACGCACCTGGGTTGCAGGATCAATCCCAGGCCCTGGTCAGGGCATGTGCAGGAGACAATCAATTGATGTATCTCTCTCTCTCTCTCTCTCTCTCTCTCTCTCTCTCTCTCTCTCTCTCTCTCTCCCCTCCCTCCCTCCCTCCCTCCCGTTCTCTCTAAAAAAAAATATCACTGGAAAAAAAAAATCCTCGGATTAACAAAATCAAACAAACAAACAAACAAACAACAATAAAACCTGCAACCTTGCCCTGGCCGGTTTGAAGGGTCCCAGGTTCGATTCTGGTCAAGGGCATGTACCTTGGTTGCTGGCACATCGCCAGTAGGGGGCGTGCAGGAGGCAGCTGATCGATGTTTCTCTCTCATAGATGTTTCTAACTATCCCTCTCCCTTCCTCTCTGTAAAATATCAATAAAATATGTTTAAAAAAAAAACACAAAAACAAAAACAAAACCTTGGTGTATCAGGACAACACTCTCACCACCTGAACTACTGGGCTAGTGGGAAAAACAGTATGTTAAGTGAAAGGAAGCCAGACACAAATGACCACCTATTATATTATTACATTTACATGAAATGTCCAGAAAGGGCAATCTATAGAGACAGAACGTAGATTAGTGGTTGGCTAGGGCTAGAGGTATAAACTGAATTAATTGTAAGTGGGCAGGAGGGATCTTACTGGGGTGCTTTTAAAAATGTCCTAGGACCTGACAGGTAGCTCAGTTGGTTGGAGCGTTATCCCAGTGTAACTAGGTTGCATTCGATCCCCAGTCAGGGCCTATACAAGAAACAACTAATGAATGCACAAATGAGTGGAGAAAAACCGATGTCTCTCTCTTTAAAAGTTTTTAATGTTCTAAAACTGATTTGTGGTGATGAATGCACAACTGAACAAATTTTCTAAAAATCACTCAGTTACACACTGGAAACAGCTTAATTTTAACATTTGTAAAATATACTTTAATTAAATTGTAAAAAAAAGTCTAAAAGATGCCTGGCTGGTGTGGCTCAGCAGTTGAGAGTAAACCCAGAAACTAAGAAGTCGCCAGCTCGATTCCCAGTCAAGGCACATGCTCGGGGTGTGGGCTCGATCCCAGTGGGTGCTGTGTAGGAGGCAGTCGATCAATGACTTCCTCTCTCATCGATGTTTCTATCTCTCTATCCCTCTCCCCTCCTCTCTCTCTCTAAAAACCAATAAAAATATACTTTTAAAAAATGTTTAAAAAGAGAGACATTGTAATAATGCTCTACTCACCATGTTCTTTCATAGCCTCCTTCCCATCGCTTAGTTCTTTCAGGTTCTTCATCCATTTTTTCTTAAATGTATTATATTATTCAATATCCTATAAAAATCATTACATTGTAAATTTCCTAAAAGTATTTGTTTTGTTGTTGAATGACATTTTTTTTAGATTTTTTCCCTTTATTAAGGTATTACAAATGTGTCCTTATCTCCCCAATATCCCCCCATCCCCCAACTCATGCCCTCACCCCCGCCCCCTGTGTCTGTATCCATTGGTTATGCTTATATGCATGCATACAAGTCCTTGGGTTGAATGACATTTTTTATATAATTAAATTTGAAAAGTAAAGAGGGGGAAGTAAACATACAAAGTGAAAAAAAAAATCAGAATGCAAGGTCATCTTAGGTTCTTTGAAATTTAGTCAATAATTGTTGTTGGGTGAAAAAAATTTACAAAATCCTCATGGAACTTTTCCCATCCCCAAGACAGACTAAAAATATTTACACACAAATTTGGCACCAATAAAAGTATCTTTTATAATATTTTAAAAAACAAAATGCATTACAGATGTGTCATAGGACAGGACCATGGATTATGAGAAGTGAGTAGGGATGTAGATAAAGCAAGATGAGCTACAACTAATGATTATTATAGCTGAGTGATGGATGTGGTGATTTATTGTACTACCCCTCCATCTCTGTGTATATGTGAATTGTTTCATAATCAAATTTTTAAATGAAATTTATTATTTATAAATGATAAATGCTTATGGCTCATAATTCAAAAAATGACACACTATTAAACCTACACAGATATCTACTATTAAAAGGAAAAAATTTAGTAATTCAATAAATAGGTTTCATCTGTATGACTGGATTAAGGGTGATTGGTTTTTTTTTGTTTCTTTATTCATTTCTGTATTTTCAATACAAACCTTCATTTCTTGAATAATCAAGGACAAAACAGGTAGTAGGGGGAACCTATTAACCATAACCAAGTAATAAACAACCCACCACATCCACACCTCCACCCTCTCCAATGAAATCTCCCTGCCTACCCCACACTCTCATTCTCAGCTTCCTTGGTGCATAAATGAAGGCTCAAAGGAATCCTAAGTGCCAAGACATTAAGGACAAAACAAATCCCCTCGCTGGCAGAGTCAAAGATAAATCTTTATGATGTGGACCATAACCAAGACCTGACCCTCCTTTTATATTACTGTTTCTAAAACAGACATTTAAGGATTTGAGGAGCTGACTTTTGGAATTAAATGGACTTTTAATTAATGGACTTTTGGAATTAAAATCTATTGACAAGTTGTACACCGTGTTTATGGCAGGCAACACTGTTTCCTGTGGCACCTGTGATCATTAGGTATTGTTTACTAAGGCTCCAAGTCTCTCACTGAATCAACCACTGCACGGCCCTGAGAGAGACCTTCTGCTGCAGGAACTCTGGCGATCCACTTTAACATCTTGAAGGAGAGAAGTGGCTTAATTCTAACTTCTGTACTGTTTCGACGGCTGACTATGTTGATGCCCTTGTAGGTTTAATGACGTGTAGTAACGTAACATACAGTGGATACATTGAACATTTTGATTCTCCAAGCAAGTGTTTTCAACGTTTTTCAACTCCAATTCTTTAAAAAGTGGCTACTGGCATCCATCACATCAAGATGTATTTTACTTTTGTTACTGAATCCCCTGAAAGCTCTGACACAAGTGAGTAGGCACTGCAGGTGGGAACACTCCCGGCTCTCTGCAGGCAAGCACCTTTGTTTTCCTTAGAGCTGCGCGACGGGAAACTGCAGGCACGGGACGGGACGGTGTGAATGAAGCTCCCGGTGACTGCAGGCGCTCGAGGGGAAGCTGGATGCTTACAACGCATCCTGGAGAAAGATGCACTTGATGCCCTAACCGGTTTGGCTCAGTGGATAGAGCGTCGGCCTGTGGACTGAAAGGTCCCAGGTTCGATTCCGGTCAAGGGCATGTACCTTGGTTGTGGGCACATCCCCAGTAGGGGGTGTGCAGGAGGCAGCTGATCGGTGTTTCTAACTCTATCCCTCTCCCTTCCTCTCTGTAAAAAATCAATAAAATATATTTTTTTAAAAAATCAATAAAATATATATATTTTTTAAAAAACCTCCAAAAAAATAAGTAAATAAGATTTGCTGAAATAAATGACTTTCCCGAACCTCTGACCACTCTCCAACTATTAAGTATTAAGGGAGGTAATATCCAAAAATATCTTAGAAGGCAAGTAAGCTGCCTTCATAACTCAATTTAACCTGGCACATATTTGGGCAATTAAAATATGCTAAATATATAAAATATTGGCTGATGTTTCTCTCTCATCGATGTTTCTAACTTTCTATCCCTCTCCCTTCTCTCTCTGTAAAAAATCAATAAAATATATTTTTTTAAAAAAGAAAGATGCACTTGGTGACCCCTCAGGTCGGTCAGCTCCTGGAACTAACTTCCTAAGAGCCCACCTTCTCAAAATATCACTAATCTGTTTCCTGGGAACCCAACCCCAGAAAAGCCCGCGTAAGCCTGTTGGCGTGCTTCCTGTCACAGGAGCGCAGACCGCTACCTGCCAACAACCACGACCTGCACCGACGCCCACGCCAGGAAGCTGGTCCGCAGACCCGATCCCAGCAAGCGCTGCGAAGCAGGCTCGGGTGACCACTGTCCTGTTTTCAGGTGCGGAACTCGAGGATCAATGGTTCGTCACTCCCTCGAGGCCACCTGGCTGGAGGCAGGTCGCAATCTCGAACCCAGGGTCCCAATCCCCAAAGCTCGCGCTCTGCGGTAGGGACATTCCCCAAGATGTTCCCCCGCAGCTCCCACAAGGAAACGGCCCTCCTCTTCCGCACGCTCCCTCACACCCTCATTCCCCATGACGCCGGCCAGGCCATTCAGCCTCCCGCCCGGGGAGTGAAGGCCCTTCGCGCCGCCAGCCGCCCCAGGCAGCCGGCCCACGTCTCCGCTCCGCGCGGGCCTCCACCCGCGGACTCACCGGTCCGGCCCGACGCCGCTCTGCCCGGAAGCCGCTCTGCCCGGAATCTCCGCCCAATCCGCTCTCAGGGCGCCCCCGAAGTCCTTCCGCCGAACGCGGAGGTGTGGCAGAAACGTTCCGACCGCTTCAAGTGGAGGTGGTGGAAGCCTGGAGTTCCCGGGCCGCGGCTTCTCGCAGCTGATTTCGAGTGCGGGAAGGGACTTACTGTCTCCCCACCCCCCCACCCCACCCCCCCTTCCAGCTAAGGAAGAGGCGACAGAAGCATCATCCCATCTTGGAAGGCTGGAGTCCCGGTAGCCATCGATGCGGGAACTGAGGAGCATGACTTTGCTTATTTCTGAGGGTTGGCATGCAGAACGGCAGCAGCTAAACAGGACCTTGCTGTGCAAGTTTTCAGGGACGCCTCTGCTGCTCCCGGTGTTCATGTAAGGAATGTTTTATTGAACACTAACTTGGGGCCTGAGACAGTTCTCACCACTGAGAACACAGCAGTGAAAAAACGGACAGAAATCCTTGGCTTCCTGGGGTTTTCTTCTATGGAGACAGTTGTCAAGAAAAACAGACTCGATGAAATGGTGATAGTGGCATTGAGTAAAATGAAGCATGAAAGGAGGAATGGGCGGCTGTATTAAATCGCGTGGTCAGAGGAATTCGCACCAGGACAGTTGAGCCACCAGCAGAATGAGAGAGGGAGTTGACCATGCTGATATTAGGGACGATCAAGATCTCTCCAGGTAAAGGGAGATGCGAGCGCAAAGGTGGAAGAACATTGGCGTGTTTGAGGGACTACGTGAGCGAGCAGGGGGGGGGGAATGGTGGCCCCAGAAATCCGAGAGGTGGGTGGCTGTGGGCATCGTGAGAACTTCGGAGGGAGGATGGTGGCTTGAACTAGTGTAGTAGGGCAGGCAGTGCAGGGAGTGAGAAGCGGTTGGATTCACAATCTTGTCGATAGATTGGGTGTGTATTATGAGCAAGGAACCAGTGATTCCAAACTTTTTTAGTTGAGCAACTGAAAGGTTGGAGTTGCAATTACTGAGAGGGTAGGGGGTGGGTAAGATCCGTTGTTTTGGAAAAGTTGTTAGAGATGCCTGCTAGTACATATGGAATTAGGTACTAGCATTTCCCGCGCTCGAGTAATGGAGTGGCAAAGCAACCCCAGAATATTTTTTAAAAGGTTAGGCCCAGGAGAGGAAGAGCAGAAAGGAACTACAGGGTCTGGAGCTGCTTTGCTTCCCCATTAGCATATGCTTCCCCTTCGTTACAGGTATTGCTTTATTGGCACCAACATTATTTCCCCATGTGTTCTACTCCCTCAAAAACAAACAGAAGCCATCCTGCGTAGTAGTGGAATGAACAGACCCGGCTTTAGTATCAGGCTCTGCCTGACTAGCTGGGTGACATCAAGCAAGTCACCTATAAAATGGGGATACCTCCACCTACTCTACAGGTTTTATACATCACTAGTGGCAACTCCATAACCAGAAGATGAGGTCTTATTGTCTTTAAAAGGGCGAGGGGAAATTAGTGTTGATGATTTTTCCCAAAGTGCCAGTCACCTTCCATCTTTGCCTCCCTCACATCTTTGACTCCTCTACAGGACTCACTCAAACACCACACTTTTCCCTTTCCCTTCCTCCCATCCTTCCTCCCTTCTCTCTATAAACGCCATGCTTTCTTCTTTTTCTTTTCTCTCCTTCCATTCTGCTGGACCATCCTATTCCAAGATGGGATGCATTCCTAACAGCCACAGTCCCAAGCTCCAAGTTTCTCACTTAGGTTTACCACCCTAGAAACTTTCTAATGGAAAATCGGGGGGAAAACAGAGGGCTCTCCAATAAATTTAAGTTGAAGCATATTCGTGGAGAGAAGCATATTCAGACTTTTAGCAACTATAAAGTTTACTCTCCTCTGTACAGATTGTAGTTTTAGACCGTGAGTCAAGTAGGAATGGTACTAAAGCAAACTGAAATATGCATAAATCCATAATCCCTTGCCATAATTATGACACAATATTCTAATCGTGTACCAAGTAGTATAATAAATGATCTCACCCAGCCAAATGTTCCAACTTGTAAAACTAAGGGACAACTATAACGAATGGAACAGTTTGTTCTTTGCCCGTCGGTGGTTGGACACCATCCACAGTGAGGAAATTCATGAACAGCTCAGCCAGTGGAATCAAGCTGATATGCAAAGTGTGCAACCTCAAAGACTGGGAGAGGTGAACCTGCCTATTCCAGTACCTTTAGATGGAACTTAAATCATTCAAGAGACTCATTAAACACCTCCAGAATTTCTTTTAACAGTACCTAATAATCCTTATCTTGATATGTAAACTCTATTCTTTTAAGCATTTGTTCATCATTTGTGAATAGTCACAGCGCCAAGCCTAATGCAGTGATGTCTACAATTCAGAATTTAACCTGCACCCAACACAAATGAAGTACATAGGGGATTGGGATAATACATAAACTTTTAAGACACAATTTGCTTTTTCAGAAGTCGTTTCAAATTTCACCTTCCAGCTTTGGGAAATAGATGTAATTGGCCATATTTTTTATTTACTTTTTGACAAGGACTGGTCTAAGTTACACATTAACTACCTTCATTTAACTAGATTAGGTACAGATATCTTTCAAATAAGCAAAATGAGACACAGGAAGGCTAAGTAATTTGCCCAAGGTCACACATAAACACAGTAATTGCTGGAGGGCAAAGCAAGACCACTTGCAGGAAAGAGCAAGCAGGCTCTTTGGCAGTAACTAAAGATGTTTTGGGAACACCCTTCCACAGTGTGTGCGTGCACCGCCGCACCTCCCCCCCGCCCCCCCTTACATAGTTGTGTGGGTGTTCTTTTTCTAACTCCAAAGTGGCATTAATTTGAACACAGTGTTTTCCAAAAACTACACGATGCTTGGACATTTTATTCATGAAAACTAGTCCCTTTAGGTCACATTGGTTCTCAACCTGTGGGTCGCGACCCCTTTGGCAGTCAAACGACCCTCTCACAGGGATCACCTAAGACCATCCTGCATATCAGATATTTACATTATGATTCATAACAGTAGCAACATTACAGTTATGAGGTAGCAACGAAAATAATTTTATGGTTGGGTCACAACATGAGGAACTGTATTTAAAGGGCCAGAAGGTTGAGAACCACTGCTTTAGGAGAAATGTTAACAATATGAAACACAGGAGGGATGAGATCACCTTCCATCTAATTTATTTGTGCTTTCATACAAGAAGAGTTATATGGTGAATGTAAGCAGAACCATGAGCTGCCAGGAGATTGAGTTTGAATTTTTATTTCTATGGCTGAGCCTTTAAAATGTCCAGTTGAGATACTTCCAATCCCAATGCTGAAAAAGGACAAGTGTGTTTATGTTAGGGAACTCCCCCACCCGCTCCCCAGCCAACTGAATCTAAGATCCCTGGAACCATGACTAAAGAATTCTTCTGCCCTGATCCTTTATACATGCATGCCCCCCATTCAGGTCATTATAGAAACCTCAGATATTTATATGAAAACATTTCACATTATTGTAAGTACTTAAAATGCACTCAAAATTAAAAAGGACAGAGCAACTCCACCTTATCTAACCCATTAATTCATTAAGAAAATCAAGCTAGAGTGGCTGGGAGTATAGAACCTCATAATCAAAGATACCTAGTTTAGTCACTTGATAGAATGTGACAATGGACCAGTGAATCCGTCAGATCATTACTTTAATGTAAAATGAGAAATGGTTGCAAGTCGATAGAACTGTTGTAAGAAATTAAATATTCTGTGTATGTATGCGTGTATATAGAATGTAACTTTTACTATAAATACTAAGAGTTAAATTTATTTCAAAAAATACAAAGCATATGTGACAAAACTAACACCTTTTATTTCTGGGTGGTGGGTACAGGTATGTTTATAGTTTTCAATATTTCTTTAAATTTTTCAAAATAAATAAAAATGTTGATGTCATCTAGTTTTAATACAAAACACACATGTAAGAAAATCTTATGCAGTGAACCTTTATCAAATAGACCACATGCTTTCACAACAAGACCTTGAACAAATATATGCAGACATAAGAATCACAGGTCAGAGATGGAAGAGACCTCAGAAATCAAATCTAAACCTCTTGCTTTCCAGGCTAGGAAACCGCTTGAGTGGCTTTTCAAAGTTATAGCCAGCTAGTTAATGTCAATCCCATCAGAAACGCCCTGATCCTGGCTCCTGAAGTGGTCTGTAGTAAGTACCACATTTGCAAAATGATTTTGTTTTTGTATTTCAAAGTCCAATTTTATGGCACAATTTTACAACGCAGACTTATGCTATTTGATTTTCTGTATTCAGCTGAATTGGTTTTGTGAGAACACTGGCAAGCTTGCCTTCATAAACTAATTACATTGACTTCCAAGCACAAAGTTAAAATCTTAGCACACGTAAAAATCAGTTAAGTGGCTCAAGAGAGACCTTACCATTTGATGTGAGCCCAACAGGTATGAAAAGCATAGACTATTATCTTTACTCATATATGTAAAACACATGGGAAATTAAGAATTTCCTCAATTTGAAGAAATGAATCAGTGTTATAATGGAAACATTACTTTAAAGTTTATCTTTGGGCTCTGGCAGGCGAGTCGGTTAGAGCGTTGTCCCAATATGTGAAGGTTGTGGGTTTGACCCAGGTCAGGGCACAAACAAGAAGCAACCAATGAATGCATGAATGGATGGAGCAACGAGTTGATGTGTCTCTCTCTCTAAAAATCAATAATAAACAAAAGTTTATCTTTGGAAAATGATTCAGACTGGTATATAAAAAATGACATACTTGTAGATGAAAAAGGGGCTCTGTAATAAACCTGAAAAGTCCAAGGCTGATCATAAATTCCTGTGCTGATTATGGTGGGTAGTCACACCCCAGGCATATAACTTCTTCAGTAAAAGGTTTATCTTTGCCTTACGTAAGCCCTGTCCATTGTTCTTGTGCTTCTAGGTTAACACACCTTTAAAATACCAGGGTCTTCCTCTTTTTCAGACTCCTCTGAGGCATAACCACCTTCCAGAGAGCACATCATTTTTCTTGTAATACAATCCCTACCTTGCGTTCTCCGACCCTCATGTAATCTTCCTTATTTCCAAATATACAAAAGAAACTGCAAAACTGGAATTCTTGGAGCATTTGGGATCTTGCTTCCTGACATGTTGTCAAAACACTTGGCTCAAATAAGCTCCTTTAAAAATCGCATATATGCATAGCCCATAGACATGGACAGTAATTTGGTAAAGGCCAAGGAAGGGAGAGGCCGGGGAGAGTGGCGGTGGGCAAAGGGTGGGGAGGGGGAATCCTGCAATAGTGTCATTAAAAATTTTTAAATCTCTACAGGTACGTTGACATACTTAAATGTTTGAATTGCAGACTAATGATTAATTTACAGATTCTTCAAAATATTTCCACAAAAACAGAGTTCTAAATTGGGGGGATAATCACAATCAACTTGGCTAGTGACATGCCCAGTATTATCAGCTAGTTTTACTTTACTAATAAAAAAATCTGAATGAAAAGAAAGTGCTGAGATTTAAGGGCAGACGAATCGGCTTCCTTATTAACAGATTGGGAAACAAGCAACCAGCATAACACCCAAAAGAGTTTAAAACAGTAACAGATATAATTGCTGAGTGTAGTTTTGCAAAGCTTAAAATTAACAGCACTAATGACATCAAACAGGTATATTATAGAAAGAAAACACCTGGTTTAATACCTTATAAAATATGTACAGAACTTGAACATTCCTTTAAGATACATTTCAAGTCACAGCTGAATTATAAATGTAATCAGGTACTCTAAAATAATGAAAGCGCCTAGTTGGTTAAAGAAAAAAAAAAAGCATGTAAACCATAAACGATTAAGAAGTATTTTAAAATACACAATAAAATTCTAGCTAGTGGTTTTAAATTTTGATTTTTAAAAAGTAAATACATATTTACAATCTTTAAATTTCACAATGTGTTACTTTTATGTGGTCTTTATTACCAAGATAACATAAAACAATAAAAAGCTCTTTTAACCATTTACACACAGAAAAAAAATCAGTAGGGAAGTTGGTAGAATGTAATATCCGTAGTAGCTACAATATGAACGGTTAGGGACTTCATTAATGGAGTCATAAAACAGACTTAACCAAACTGCAAGCTAGGAAACAAGTGGTTTCACTTCACTGCAGGGACCCAGTTTCCTTCTCTGAAAAGGAACGATTATAAATAACAGTTACATGAAGAGAGGATCCTGGGAGGACTCAACGAGATTACCTATTGGAACGAATGAAGCACTAAGACATGACTGCCTAGGGCGTGAAAGTTCACAGCGCAGTACACTCAGCAACCTTCCTGAAAAGGTTTGAAAACCTCAAACAACAGTTCTTAATATCAGAACCAGTGTTTACAGCATAAATCCTTAATTGGAGTGTTCAGCACAGTTGATTATCAAAAGCTATTTATAAAATGCTTCCATACCAATGATATGAAAGCTACCAAAACTTTGTAATGATCACAAAGGTTTGGCCTCTCTGGTTAGAGTCCAAAGTCATTTTGCATGCTGACACCACTGCAGAGATGTCGGATACTTCTCCATCACTCAGACAATCTGGAATTTGCTTTCTGTCTTCCCTCGGTCATAATCTCCAACCATCCTCTTGATGTGGGACAACTTACTCTTCAACTGCTTGCAATAATTCCTCTTATTTTTGTAATTTGCAGACTAAAAAGGGAAAAAAAATGAATCAGGTAAATTTAACAAAATAAAAATGAGTTATGTGCAGCTGCTGGGAAGGCAGAGATCAATCAAAAAAAGGGGACTATTAGTCATCAGAATTGTTGGGAGTGTGAAATGATGTAACATACATAAGGCGCCTGGCAGTATCTCAAGCCAGATAGGCAGTTGATTCTCTTTGCTGAACAAAATCTAACCTGAGTTTTCAGAACGACACACGAATTTCTAATGATTTGTAAAGTGACAAAAAACAAACAAACACCTATTGGCCTTTTTAATAACATACATAGCCTAAAAATTTAGTGAAACAACAAACTAGTGATATCAGTTTGGGAAAAGGGGACTGGATTAATGATGAATGAGACAGGAAACTTACTATACATGCTTTTAAACTCAGGCTTTTAAAATCACGATGTTTTGTAATTTTTACAAGTTTAATATAAAATCTTTTAAAACAAGCAAAACATTTGAAGTCAAGAACAACTGGGAGCCAGAACCGGTTTGGCTCAGTGGATAGAGCGTCGGCCTGCGGACTGAGGGGTCCCAGGTTCGATTCCGGTCAAGGGCATATACCTGGGTTGCGGGCACATCCCCGGTGGGAGATGTGCAGGAGGCAGCTGATCGATGTTTCTCTCTCATCGATGTTTCTAACTCTCTATCCCTCTCCCTTCCTCTCTGTAAAAAATCAATAAAATATATTTAAAAAAAAAAAAAAAAAAAAGAACAACTGGGAATGGCAAGTGCTGGTAAGGATAGAGCAACAGGAATCTATACAACTTGGTAGGAATCTCAACTGGCCCAAACCAGGAACACTGGTTGACAGTACCTACCCAAGGCTGGGTACACACTTCCCCAACGACCCTGCAATTTCACTCCTAAGTATGTACCTAACAACTGTGTATACATGTGCTTAGACACTCACAAAAATGTTTGAAGCTGCATTCGCTGCAAAAGCCCTAACTTGGAAACAATCCAAATGCTCAGTAATGACAGAAGAAGTGAATAAGTTGTGTTTTCTTCACAAAATAAGTACATGAGCCACAACCACATGCCAAAACAGGAATGGATCTCACACCGAACTGAGCAAAAGAAATCACACAGCCCTGGCCAGGTAGCTGAGGTGGTTAGAGCGCCGTCCCCGTATGCCAGGGTTGCGGGTTCAGTCCCTGGGTCAGGGCACATACAGAAAGCAACCAATGAATGCATAAATAAATGGAACAATAAATTGACGTTTCTTTCTCTCTCTCTCTCTCTCTCTCTCCCTCCCTCCCTCCCTCAAATCAATCAATAGTTTTTTAAAGAGAAATCACACATATATGGTTCCATTTATATAAAGTTCAAAACAGGCAACATTAATCTATGATGTTCGAGGTGAGAATGGTGGTTACCTCCAGAGAGAAAGCAAAAATTGGAAGAGAGTACAGGAGGGCATTCTCAGAGTTACAAGGAAATTTACTTCTTGATCTGAGTGCCAGGTACAAAGGTATGTGGTTGCTTTGTGAGAATTTACCAACTTTTACATTTATGATATATACTTGTATGTATGTATACTTCAACCTTTAAAAAAGTTTTTAAAAAAATCAGTATCGGTTATAGCTGCAAACAACTTAAATTAAGGTTCCAACTTCTCAGGTATAGTTTATCTTGCAACTATTGGGCCTTCTGTGTATAATCAGTACATGCGTGTCAAGGTATTCTCAAGGTTCAAGGAAAAACATGCAACAGAAAAATTATTTCGCGGAGAATCTTACAACCTGGGATACTTACCCCCTTAACTTGCTTCAGTCTATTGTATTCATCAGCAGCAGCCTATTAATGAGAAACACAAGGGAATAAGTTTAATGGGCATTTCCACGTTCAAAAATAACATTACTGATGCTATAATTTGAAGCTAAAGATGCAAAAAATACAGGAAATTAAAATAATGAAGTTTTAAAGCTCTTGAAACTGGTCAGCAGGAGGCCTGAGTTCCATTCACATAGGCAGGTAACTATTTTGTTCCTCTCACCTTTCCCGATGCCAGTCCATGTGCCACGCTGACACCAGAGAAGTCTCTTATAAAGCACTGTTCTGATCAGGTTATATAGCATTATAAAACTTGTCAGAGCTCCCCATTAACCTCTCTACTGATCTAGTCTCCTACCTATTCAGTCTTAGCACCCATCATTTGCAATTCCTTTTAATTGCAAATTAAATAATTAATCATGTTAATGCTTCCAGATTTCTATCATGTTCTCCCTGAAGCTGTCTGTACTCATGCACCCGTACCTTATTTTGCCCAGAGAATCTATAATGGTTACCGCTCAATGAAGCCTCTCCTAAACTCTTCAAGCCTTCAGCAGACCTAATTCCTTCTCTCAGCAGTTATTTATAGTACTTTCTACATTATAATATGAATATGACATTAGTCACATTGTCTAAGTTGTTTAGATGTCAGTTTCTCTCAGGATATGAATTCGTTGAGGGATGACACAGGATTTTAGTTATCTTTCTAACTTCCGTACTTCTACATCAAGGGCACAATAATGATCAATACTATTCACTGAACTGATTAAAGTTTATGACAACACTATAACACCATACAAAAGCCATAAAAGAAGAGGCCAAAAATCAATACAAAAGATCAATAAAACCAAGAGCTGGTTCTTTGAAAGGATAAACAAGATTGATGAACCTCTAGCCAGGCTCACCAAAAAACAAAAGAGAGAGGACCCAAATAAACAAAATCAGAAATGCAAGAGGTGAAGTAACAACAGACCCAACAGATATACAAAGGATTGTAAAACAATACTACGAACAACTCTACTCCAATAAACTAGACAACATAGATGAAATGGACTGGTGATTGTAATAAAATCAGGGACATAAAAAGGGAATGGGCTGACTATTCTTGGGGGGGGGGGGAGGGATGTGGGAGATTCGGGAAGAGACTGGACAAAAATCGTGCACCTATGGATGAGGACAGTGGGTGGGGAGTGAGGGCGGAGCGGAGGGTGGGGTGGGAACTGGGAGGAGGGGCGTTTAGGGGGGAAAAAAGAGGAACAAATGTAATAATCTGAACAATAAAGATTTAATAAAAAAAAAAAAAGAAAACCCCCCACAATGATGGGGTACATCAAATAGACAAAGGAGGCAGCTGAAAGAGTTCCCAATGGTCAGAGCTATAACAATAAAGTAGTATTTGATTATAAGCTAATGTATAAATAAGATATCCAAGAGCCCTTACTGAAAAGCGACTGACTAAATAAATTTTAAAAATGGGAGAAGTGACACATTTTCCTTGCAGAAGAATTCCAAATAATTTGTGTAGGTACATCTCCTTTGGAGAGCTGGAGCATAAGTCTTCAATTCTTAAGTATGATCAATAGTATACTATGGAAAGGGGGATTACAACGGGAAGAGTAACTTTACACAGATGAATACTGCCTCTGCCAGGTGATCAAAGAACAAACAAACCATAAACTATTTTTGAGTAAAAATACGGGAGAGATATAGGTAAAAATATAAGATGATTCCTTATCAAAGGGCCTATATCAACAACCCATATTTTGGTGATAAACAGGTGGTGGAAATTAAGGAATTTAGGCAATTCTGTATTGTTTGAATTTTTTACACAAAGAATGAACTGGGTGTATAAATAGAAAAAGTGCTATAGTTATTTTCTTTTCAAAGAGGAAGAAATATATGTATGTAGACTACTGCTTTGTAATTCTTTTTTTAAAAAATATATTTCTTTATTGATTTCAGAGAGGAAGGAGGAAGGAGAGAGAGATAGAAACATCAAAGATGAGAGAGAATCATTGATCGGCTGCCTCCTAAACACCCCCCCTACTGGGGATTGAGCCCGCAACCCAGGCATGTGCCCTTGGCCGGAATCGAACCTGGGACCCTTCAGACCACAGGCTGACGCTCTATCCACTGAGTCAAGCCGGCTAGGGCTGCTTTGTAATTCTTAAGTAAATTAGTATTAGTATACTCTTCAATTTGGAAAGACTTTCACCCAAGATTCAATTTCAATTATTCTTCAATGAAATTACAGTTTTATAATTACTAACACATTTTCTATTAACATCAATATAAAGGATACTGGATCTCCATAGATCAGAGTAAAGTATATGTAATATATAATTACCATATTTGAACTTACCATGTACTCTTCGCTTTCTTCTCTATAGTCGTCCAATTCCTTATCCAGACGAGAGAGTTCTCTATTGATCTCATCAAGTTCTGCTTGTAAGCGCTTGTATTCCTGCAGGCCAGTGTCAAAACTTCTCTTATAGACTTGTCTTTGTTGATCTGAAGTGATAGGTGGATATTCCCTAAAAATTGAGTGAGAAAATGACTATGTGCCCTTAGCAGACATAAAATCCAGTGTTTCTTCGTCAAAGATAATAAAGCTGATGGGACATGGAGAATGACCTTCTTCTTTTTGTAGCTGATGGGGAGAGGAAGGTGGGCTGCAAATAGTTCTCTTAAGAAGGATTATACTTTCTACATCACTGATCATGTTGTATGTGTCGTCGTTGTTTTGTTTTTTTTTTAATATATTTTATTGATTTTTTACAGAGAGGAAGGGAGAGAGATAGACAGTTAGAAACATCGATGAGAGAGAAACATCGATCAGCTGCCTCCTGCACATCTCCTACTGGGGATATGCCCACAACCCAGGCACACGCCCTTGACCGGAATCGAACCTGGGACCTTTCAGTCCACAGGCCGACGCTCTATCCACTGAGCCAAACCGTTTTCGGCAATGTGTCGTTGTTTTTTAATAAAAACTATTCCTACATAATTTTGGGAAATAAAGTTAAAAGTAATTTATGAAATTTAAGGTTCAAGTTATAAGAACCCCCTTATTCTGCATGTACAACACGATAATGCAACTTATGTTTAACGTCTTGGAACTGGTATTCTGGAACACGAGGCATGTTGTCGTCATTGCGGGGCCAGGGCAGTCCACTGGCAGCTGGCTATTTTCCGCTACCACCTACAGTTTTCAGACTGTTTGGGGTATGGGTTGTTGTTTATTTTTTATCTTGGTCTTGTTTTTCCTAAGTGGAAATAGCTTTAAGTCCTTTGATGATAAAAGTAGACTTTAAAATGTCCATGTATAAAAACGCACGCTTGTTGTACAAATAATCTGGCAATGCATTAAACTATGGAAAAAACCCTGGGTTTCTGTATCACTGTATCTCTCAATATACCAGCTGTTCTTTACATCTGAAGGTAATGCTATTCATCCCTAATCCACTGAGGAAATACTGAATTGTGTCACAAAACTACGGATCTTCTTAGCAATATGGAATTTCAGATTTTAGATCTAAGTCAGCCTAATACCTTCATTTTGCAGAGAGAATAAATTAAAGGATTTGCTCAAAAGGGAAACAAGAATTCAGAATTTCTAAAAGTTTTCATTTAAATATTCTATAAGTTAAACAAATATTTCACAGGTATATGGCTGAGCTAGGCCAAAAACTCCTAAGGAGAGAGGGGAAACGAGGTCTGACAAACACTCGTGTGTAGGGGATTTCAAACTATACCCACGCCACGCATCCCTAACACCTTGAGAAGCAATGTTTTCATCCATCACCATTCACACCACAAATGTTTCTGATTTGTATCCCATTCCTCATAATACTTGGGCATAAAAGGGCTACATCAAACACGAGAATAGCTGTGCTGATGGCCTAAAACAAAACCACTGACACACACACAAAGGAACTTAACCTCAATCTTGGCCAGAACACTAAATTGTTAACAACTGTATCAGAACTGTTTTCCAAAAATCCTTTGGATAAACTTTTAAAAGAATCCCTGGTGTCATCGTGGAAGCTTAAAAGTAAATGCCAAGGCAGAGCCACAGCACCAGTCTGGGAAATTTGTAATCGGTAAAATAAAGTTCCTCTATACTTGTATTTTATTTATTTAAAGGCCTTTCTTGAGTAATTATTGGCAAAAATAAGAGCCCTGGTGAAGTTTCTCAGCCATGCGTGGGGGCCGTGTAAGACACTATTACAGCCAAGCATACCCCCTCCATTGTCCATCTTTATTACGAACGAGTACTAAGAAAAAAAACATAAAAGACCAGTCTCCGGTCCTGGTTGGCAAAGAATGGAATTATACCTTCCACCCCAGTTTAGGATGCAACAGCTCCCAAATGCTAATATCAAATGTGCAGGTGGCCCCAGCGAAAGAGGCGGCGCGTACCTGATCCAGTCCTCCTCCAGCTCATCGCAGGACTCGCCGCCGGTCGTGTAGTCTGTCTCATAGTGGTCTTGCTCTGGCCTCTTGGACTTGCCCGCCCTTCTCTTTGTGGGAGCCCTTTTGGACGGTGTCTCAAAGTTACCATCGCTGCTGTAATGAGGCTGCCTGAAGTCATCCGCAGGGGACGTCACGGGAAGCTCCTGCACCACTTCGGGCACCCTAATACACAGGAATGACTTTTCAGTGATCACCGGGCACACGGCAAGCCTTTGCCAGTGCACTGTAAGCACGAAGAGCAGCAACAGTAGCTATTAGGAGCTCTGCATGTAGGTGCATTCACTCAAGCACCTACAATGCTCATGTGCTCAACACTGAGCAGACCCCCTAGTGTCCTGCGTTCAATGTAGCACCAGCTCAGATCCTACAAGAGAAGCTTTACGGTTCCTCTGTAGGAGGAGCCCATTTATAAACCTTTTAAGTGAAATGGTTCTAAGCTTTCATTTAATGTAGGCTGGTCTGGAAGACACGTTTACCTGACCTGTGCTGGGGATACACTCCACAAAAGGCTGTCAGGAAAACAACGGCCATGATTCCTTTCTACAGGTTCTTCGAGTTCCATGGCATGTGGAGTAGAGAAGAGGAATGAATGCACACGCATACCTACCTTTGGAAGCTGACTCGCAGAGACAGACCTTTGTAATATTAACGTTAGACTCCTTTATATCTATTTCAAGATATCTCAAAAAAACTAAAAATTAAAAACAACTGAAAAGCTTCATACAGTAATAGATGAAAAGGCTCATTAAGACATCTTTTGTAAAATTGCTTTGTTAATCCTGAAGCCACACGGAATGAATGGAACGGAAGGGTTACCATTACACTTATTTTTCCTTTTTAAATATATTTTTATTGATTTTAGAAAGGAAAGGAGAGAGAGAAACATCAATGATGAGAGAATCATTGATTGGTTTCCTCCTGCACACCCCCTTCTGGGGATCGAGCCCACAATCCGAGCATGTGCCCTTGACTGAAATCAAGTCTGGGACCTTTCAGTCCACAGGCTGACACTCTAGCCACTGAGCCAAACCGGCTAGGGCTACACTTACTTTTCTAATGCAATTGTTCAGGACCGAATCAGATTTTTCACTGCACATAATGTTTCAGCCACAAGCTTAAAGCCAAAGCCTAACATGGAGTGTTATCTACAAGGTTTACTCTCTTTCTACAAGGTTTACTCTCTTTTCTAGGTGATCCAGAACTGCCTGACTTTGCTGTCAAAGTCTAAAGGTGTGTATGTGTTTGTAGTTGGGGTTGGGGGTGGTATTTATTCCTTCTTTCTGAATTTATTCATGCTAGCATGGCTTTGTGTGCTAAGTTAATGCTACTTCTATTGGGAGGGAAAATGTGACTTTCTCCATGAGTCAATAATTAAACAAGTTCCTAGACACACTGCCAAAATGCCGGGCACTATGCATGCTTCTTGCTTTGACGTGACTAACAAAACCTTTAGCATTCATTGGCTTTGAGAGGCTGAGCGTCAGAAGGGAAGGAAACAAAAGGCAAGAGAAATTAGAAAAAAGAAGACATTAAGGCAGGCTTCCCCCTAATTTTTTTTATTAGTTATTGATATTATAAATCTTTACCTTGGAAGTTTTCCAACTCTCCTCTTCCCACACCCTTCGAATACTAAACAGTAACATACTTAATGTAGCATAAAAGCTAAGCACAAAATGCTTAGCAGTAAAAGAATATATAAATTTAAGAACTAGGGAATATGTATACTCTCAATAATCTCCTAACCTACTTCTAGATGCAAGTCTATTAGGTCAAAATCCACATAACCCAGAACAAGTAACCAGCTGCATACTTTCCGCAGTACCCAACTCAGTCTCCCAGGTCTGGAAGTCCCCCCTTTTGCAGCTTTTGGATTGTTTCTTTTTATTTACTTGTTTTATTCTCTCACACACACCCTCACATGCCTTTGCTGCTATTATCTTGCCATGACTCTCAATGTAGTTACTGTGCACTTTCTTCTGCCCCTGTTAGTCTGCAACCTCCATGAGAGCATGGACTTGGTATTCCCAGGGCAGCTGGCCCAGTACTGTGTGCATGGCAGGTGTTCAAGGTAATTACTCAATTAACATCAGTCACATGAATCCTGTTTTCTGAGGACACCCACTATCAATGGGGGAGAAACAATGCATAATTAATACCAGTGTCTTTCTTGATTGTCAGAATGATGTCGGTTGTTTTTCTGGTGTCCCTCCAAAAAAATGTGCACACACTTTTTTCTGATAGGTCAACTGATGTTTTTTTACTTCTCAGATTTAACTCATTGGAATAAATAATTATTCAAAATGTATATACATTTTTGGGGACACCCTATATATGGTGTTTAGAACTGTCACCATTATTGGGGGGAGTAACTAAGCCTTGCTAATCATAGAACTTCACCTTTCTGACCTTGGGGATGACAATGATCCAAAAGGCCAATCAGAATCTTTCCAATAGATTGATGTTGATATGCAAGCTTTGGGGGGGAAAATATTCCTTTTATAAAAATATGTTTTCATTGATTTTAGACAGAGAGGAAGGGGGAGGGGAGCAAGAGAAAGAGAGGAGAGGGAGAGAGAAAAGCATTGATTGGTTGCCTCCCACAAGCACCCGAACAGGGATCAAACCTAAAACTTTGTCATGTGCCCTAAGTGGGAATGGAACAGGCAACCTTTCAGTGCATGGTACAACGCTCAATCTACGGAGTCACACCTGCCAAGGAGGGATTTTTCTGATGGGAACATGGATAACCCATCCTGTTACAAGGGAAGTTGTACTGAGAATAAAGACAACATAGCAACAAGGCCCTGATATCTTCTGGGTCCCTGGGTATGCCATGCCTGACACAGACCCATCCTGGGCCTTAGGTGAACCAGTGAATTCCTACGACTTGCATAAAAGCCCTAACAGATTACCCGTCAGCCTATTTGCTACCACCAAAGAACAGGCTGTCTTATTTGTCGCCCTAGGGCAGCGGTTCTCAACCTGTGGGTCGCGAACAATGAAAATACATCCTGCATATCAGATATTTACATTACGACTCATAACAGTAGAAGAATTACAGTTATGAAGTAGCAACGAAAATAATTTTATGGTTGGGGGTTACCACAACATGAGGAACTGTATTAAAGGCTCGCGGCATTAGGAAAGTTGAGAACCACTGCCCTAGGGTGTCATCCTGCCTTGAAAGTTCTCTGTGGTGTCAACACTCAACTTCCTTGATTTATTAAGGTTAATTCACCCTGGGTGTGGACAGTATACTAGGGAGTGTACCTAACAGGGCTCTCCCAAATTCACTTAGGAAGGGTAAAGAGGCAACCATCTTCAGCTAATCCAGGATTAATTCTGACTACCTTGAAATTCTAACATATAGGACATAAAGATGAAGAGGAGCTAGACATGAGAGTATGTTTATGATTCCATTAAATAAATACTCCAATAACACGCTAAACTAATAGATGGTGATAGGCATCAAAATTGGGGGGGGGGGGGGGGAGCGGGACAAAAGGACACCAGAGGACCTTTTGGAGTGCTAGAGATGTCTCTCGGTGCAGTGGTGGTGACTTCATTGTTCACATCTGTGAAAATTCATCAGGCTGTATACTCAAGATTAGTGCTTTTTTTAAAAAATATATCTTTATTATTGATTTCAGAGAGGAAGGGAGAGGGAGAGATAGAAACATCAATGATGAGAGAGAATCATTGATTGGCTGCCTCCTGCACACCCCCTACTGGGGATCAAGCCGGCAACCCGGGCATGTGCCCTTGACCGGAATCGAACCTGGGACCCTTCAGTCCGCAGGCTGACGCTCTATCCACTGAGCCAAACCATCCAGGGCAAGATTAGTGCTATTTACTGAATGTACGTTATGCTTTTGGGGGAAGAAAATCTTAGTATTGAGGAACCATGGACCTCAGACACGATGCTCCCATTCCTTCTCTGCCTACCGCAATAGCAAGGAGGAGAGGTGCTCGTGGGTTCCTTGCACCTCAGGAAGCCTGAGGGAAAACATACTATGACTTAATGTGCATCTCTACCTCCACAGCTGATGCACTCCGAATCCTCCACAGCACTCAGTACTCTGCCACAGTCAACGCTAGACAATTTCTATTACTCCCCAGAGGCGGCAAGTTCCTTCCATCACTACCGCACACATCAGGGCTGCGCTGTGGGATTCGCTGTCACATTCGTATCCCTTAGCACCATTCCCATCCTCCCCTTCTGGGTTCTAAAATTAATCATCAGATTTGCATTGCCAAGACCTTCAAAAAAGTTCTAGGGTGTAGGTTGGGAGTATAAACTGGTACAACCATTATGGAATACAGTTTGACCACATCTATCAAAATGAAATACGCAACTGCCTTTAGTCCAGCAATTCTCCAGATACATTCACATATGTGCAAAGTGATAAAAGTGCAAGTTTATTCCCTGCAGTGGTTTGTAATCACAAAACATTGGGGGAAAACTGTGCATCAATATGGGAATAACAAAATAAGTTACTGCTGGAATATTAGGCAGCTATGAAATAGAACAGGAAACTCTTTGTATACCAATATGAACACTCTCCAAGATACAGTGCTAACAAGGCATTTAATATGCTAGTATTTTTTAAAGAAAAAACATACCAATATTCATATTTTTTTTAAAATATATTTTATTGATATTTTTACAGAGAGGAAAGGAGAGAGAGAGAGAGTTAGAAACATCGATGAGAGAGAAACATCGATCAGCTGCCTCCTGCACATCTCCCACCGGGGATGTGCCCGCAACCCAGGTACATGCCCTTGACCGGAATCGAACCTGGGACCTTTCAGTCCGCAAGCCGATGCTCTATCCACTGAGCCAAACCGGTTTCGGCACCAATATTCATATTTGGCCAGCATATTTTACTTAAAAATTACCTCTGGAAGGATATAAAAGAAACTGGTAATACCAGCTGCCTCCTGGGAGAGGAACTAGAGATCTCTTTTGTCCCTTTTAAATTTTACTTACGAATGTATTGATTGACTTAAGAATAAGTAAGATTTTTAAATTGTTCTAAATGAATTTGAAAATATTTTGGTTTTCATGAAAAGGGACAACATGTGGGAATGCCATGTAACCATGCAGGTCTTACAATTAATTTAGAGGCATAGCTGGTCACATGCATTATAGGTATTCATTTTGCATGTGTGAAAGCCCTATAAATCATCGCTCAAAACTTTCACAAGGATTGAATCCCCACTATGTACCTCTGCCCTAATAGCTTCAGGTGCTTTGGTTTTTGTTAAAATCCAAAGAGAAGGAGAACAGAGAAAATGCTCTTTCTCCCAATCATTCACGACTGGAATAAACAGCGAGGTTTATTCTGCAGACCAAAGCAACACATATGGAGTGTAAGGCAGCTGCCCGTCTGTCTCCAAATTCCATTCCCATAATCAATCTATCGCCTTCAAACTGCTTCCATAATTAACGCAGCTGCCGGTGTCACCTTACGGGGTTCCGGGTGCTCACACTGTGCACTCACAGTGGGTCCCACTAAATGAGGGTGCAGGGTGGAAAGAAAACTTTGGAGTCACAAAAAGTTTTCCAGCAGACACACCTGTGACTAAGAACAATCAAACTAACTAAAGGGAAGGTTTCTTTTTTTGGTCTACAAAGGAATTTGGAGTTCTAGAATTAAATATAGCAACACAGCTTATCATCCTTAGGCAAAAATGACATCCAAGTCCTTAATAATACTTCCAATATCCATTTCTCACTAGTTCATTAGAATTAGGCTGAATTAGAATTAGGCTTTAGGACAAACTAAAACCACAATGGGGATACCATTTCAAAAACCATAATGGCATACCAACTCTAGGCCAGAAACTCAATTCAAGGTTTTTTACACTGTATGTATAACAAAAGCTAGAGGCTTCACCAGCAATACGGAGGCTCTAGCACAGCAAAGGAGATATCAAAATTCCTGAATTCAAATGAAGCCTAATCCTATAAAATAAAAGGGTAATATGCAAATTGACATAAGGACAGAACGACCAGAATGACTAGTTGCTATGATGCACACTGACCACCAGTGGGCAGACGCTCAATGCAGGAGCTGCCCCTTGTGGTCAGTGCACTTCCCCAGAGTGAGCTCCACTCAGCTACAAGCCAGGCTGACAGCTGTGAGCGCAGCTGTGGAGGCGCGGGGAGCCTCTCCCGCCTCCTCGGTAGCACTAAGGATGCCTGCCAGCAGTTGCACATCCCCCGAGGGCTCCTGGGCTGCCAGAGGGATGTCCGACTGCCAGCTTAGGCCTGATCCTCTGGGGAGCAGGCCGAAGCTGGCAGGTGGACATCCCCTGAGGGGTCCCGGACTGCAAGAGGGCACAGGCCAGGCTGAGGGACCCCCCCCACCCCTGAGTGCATGAATTTTCATGCACCGGGCCTCTAGTAGTTTAATAAAAATATATGTGGGCAGGGTTGATCAATGACCAATCTCCCTTTCTACGGAGGAAAGAGTGAAGATAGGGAAAATATAAAATGAAGGCATTTTAACCAAGCGACTAAATTTTTTAACATTATGAAGGTTGAGGCATGAAGAAATTATTCTTTTTATCTTAACTCACCTGGGAACTTCAGCTTTTGAACTTTCCAGTCCTGAACCAGTACCTAGATAATGCCTAGCATACATCAAACCTGCAGATAACCGTTGGACTACCCCTAAAGGACTCAGGACGTTACCAGGCTCCTGATGCTCATCCTCCAGACTGCCTGACCTCTGACTGATAACTGTCCTGGACCAGCCTGAGGGCTAAGAACGCAGGACTGATTATTTTTAAGGATGTGACTTTAACTATAAGAATTTTTATTGATTGACTTTTAGAGAGAGTGAGGGAGAGAGAAACACTTATGCATTCATTGGTTGATACTTGTACCTGCCCTAATCGGGGATCAAACCTGCAACCTTGGCATAGCTGGACCACGCTCTAACCAACTGACTTACCCGGCCAAGGCTACCGTAAGAACTCTTAACTTTTCTTTCTTCTTTGGAACACTTCTAGGTTTTTGCCAAGATATGTTTCCAGCTTGCAAACTCTAAGACCCTTGAGTAAATTATTATCATTTATTTCTCGTCAAAGCTTCCTGATTTTTGTGTGTTTATTCAACACTCTAAATGAGATCTAATAATTATAGGCAAAAGGAGAGACTGAGAAATGCACTAAGTTGTGCTATCAATCAGTAATGCCCTTTTACCCACACATAAACTCAAAACCAGAACTAGGACAGAGAACCATATTCCTAGAATGAAAGAACCTAACCTACCTCTACCTATTAAATCATCAGGAGAAAAGCATTTTCAGCTTAGAAGAGGAGGACTCCACCTCACAGTCCCACCCTTCTTACCTTCCAAGTAACCCTAGGCATCCACCTACAATGCAAAGATCAGTCTCCAGCCTTTATGCAAACTGTTGGATTATTTTTTTTAAGGTAAATGGTACAAAACAGTAACAGATTTATAAAAGTGCAAGTATTCATGTTTTAGACTCAGAATATCAGAAGAAGCTGCTACTTACGGTGTTGATTTATAGGATGATTCTGGATACAGCCGCTTGTCATTCACTTTACCATTGGAAGAGTAGGCCATGGGACTGTACACTCTGTCCACGTAGTCCGAAGGCGGAGGAGGCATGTCTTGTGTGCCTGCAGACACGTTTTTAACCTAAAGAAACAGCCCCAAAGAGACACAGGTATTATTTAGCCTGTAATTTAAAGGGGGAAGAAAAAAACATATATAAAATGATCTAGTATTTACTGGAATCATCAAATACTAATAACCTGTAATGATTGCCTTGTTATTGGAGCCCACTGTCAAATCAGTATTTTGACAAACACATAAAGGTGCTCTTGCTAGTTTAACAAGTCCATAATGAATTACAAAGAAGAAGGAAAAAAACCAAGTTACCCAGTTTTCATCCTGGTGTGTTTAGGTGGAATAATTATCCCTGGCAATTGCTTCTTCCCCATATTAGGAAGACTAGTCTCATTTTATGTAGGTCAGGTCTGTGTTAGGGTGAGAATTTTCATTTCTAACAAGTTCCAAGGACCACACTTGGAACACCTATTAGCTAGGGCAAAGGACAACGGTTCTTCTTAACCCATTCACCCTAAACATGGACCACTAAAACCACAGAAGAAATTAAGAAGCGCAAACTGATTTCTGCTATAATTCTTTACTGAGGTTTGAGTATTCTCCCTCGACGTACATGCTCAATAGCACTATTATTAATAGCCTGTACAGTACAGTCCCATCGCTGCTGTCCCTCTCTGCTCTCCATAAGTGAATTTGTACTAAGAAGGAATATATATTAGAGATTATGCTTTGTTAATATGAAAGGTTTCCCACAGAACCTGTGAGAGAAAAATTTAAATATAATAAGTATGGACAATTAAATTCTCAACATTGTTAGAAGCAGACCCAACAAGCTTTAAATTTCACCTAAAAATCTTAACACATTACTTTGCAATTGATTAAAAGTAACTGCTAAATTTTGAGTTGTTTCAAAGTAAAGGAATAAAATAAAGCATGGGAAAACATTAAAAATAACTCCATAGGCTCTGGCCATAGCTCAGTTGGTTAGTTGTCCCGACAAGCGGAGATTGCAGGTTTCCATCCCTGGTCAATGTACATACAAGAATCAATCAATGAATGCATAACTACGGGGAACAGCAATTCAATGTGTTCCTCTCTCTCTCTCTCTCTCTCTCTCTCTCTCTCTCTCTCTCTCAAATCAATCCATAAATAAAATTTTAAAACTCCATAAACTATTTCTGAGAAAAAGAACAACTTTTCAAAATTAGGTAGGGTAGGACTACTTTAGCTTGGTGATGGCATCAGATTACCTGAGCTTACTCCAGATCTGCCAACTACAAGCTCTAGAAAGCCTCAGTCTGCTCATCTGGAAGAAATGCAGAAGCTTCTTACTTCATAAAGTTTTCCTGACAACTAAGTGACATGACAAGGTATCACATTTAGCACAGTGCCTTTATGAACACAGTAAAAACTCGGAAGATGCTAGGTTTTGGAATTAAAGTCATTGGATCTAAACAAAGAACTTTATAAGTATTTGACTGTGACAGCAGACTTTTCATTGGATTATTGTGCAATTATGCATCCTAGCAATTAAGTTCAGTATCAATACAGTGTATTTCCTTGCAACACACCCGCCTGACATCTTGTTTCCCAGTGTATTTCCTTGCAACACACACACTTGACATCTTGTTTCCCGTTAAGCATAGCACTACAACATGACCTGTTCTTTTCCTATCACTGCACTATCACATTCCGAAATATTTATTTACCCAGCCCTCTAAGGCCATGGAGGTCTTCTTGATTGTTTAATAGTCCTGTGAGTCAGAAAAGAATGGAATCATTTCCTCCTGAAGTGGAGTTTGGCAGCAACTGGGAAACCGGTGGGTGGGTTGCGGGGAGTGTGCTTAGATCCCACCACAGGGGGCGCGGGTGGGAACCATTCTTGGCTCCCCAGATGAATTCCTCAGGACTTGACAAAGGCCTATTCTTATTCTGGAGACTTCAGAGTTTAAAAAGACTTCCTTTTCTTTAAAACCCATTTAACACTCCAGGTTCTTTCCCCTTCAAAACTTTAGCAGAGACTCAAAGCTTGGAGATTTCCTACTGACTCTAACAAACCAGAAACCAAAACTTGACAAAAAGGTGCCTGGGTGTCCCAGTAGAGACTGCTTACTGCCTGGAATGGAATGTCCTTCCTCCTTTCTTTGCCAGCTAATCCTTAATTGGGCTTCAAGTCTTGGCTCACTACCAAGGAGTAGTAATGCCACTACCTCCTGGAGGCCTTCCACCTGTGTCCCTGCTGGGTGAGGCATCTATCTGTCCTCCCATCTCCTCAAGCACCTGTGCACACAAACCTCCCACCCACCACAGCACTTACGCACTGTGGGAACAATTGTTTAGACGCAGCATAATGGCTTGCTCCCATATCTCTGACTTCAGTAGGCAGTCGACTGTTCTAAAAGCCACCACTGTCTGCCTACTTACAATGTGCCAGATACTGAATTCATGCATCATTTAGTAGCCACAACCTTAGAGGTAAATACTACGATTCCTTTTTCAGAAATGAGGAAGCATTGGTTCAGAGAGCCAGACAACTTTCCCCAAGACCTATACCTAGTAAGTGGTAATGTGGAATTTAAACACAGGGCTCTCCCCGAAAGCCTCTGCTGCAATCCACCACCTCTCCCTGGGCAGTCTCCTACCTTCTCTTTGGGTCTCCAAAGCCCAGCACAGTACCTGGCACAAATCAGGAACCCAGAGTTTGCTGCACAGAGGTTATCTCACTTACTGCTGCTCTACATTGTGTATATCCAAACATCTTATTAAATGAGCTGCTCTGTGCTGACCTTTATCTCTTAGCAGGACAGGACTAACTTGTCCACTGACTTCACCCTCCAGCAGGTCTTTGGTTACTTTAACCTTTTTTATATGGATGCACAAAAAATTCCAAGGTACTGTTTGTTTTGGCAGAGCTTATACTAAAATTGGAGTAATACAAAGAAAATTCATTATTAGCGTGGTCTCTGCAAAAGGATGGCATGCACATCTGTGACAGGTTCACATTTTTAAAAATCCCCAGCCAAGCATGTCAAACACACAATGCAATAGACAGGTGATGTATATACAATTGTGTGCTTGAAATCTATAAGATGATATTAACCAATGTCCCCCCAATAAATTTTTTATGTATTATTTTTATTGATTTTAGAGAGAGAGAGGAAGAGAGAGAAACATCAATTTGCTGTTCCACTTATTTATGCATTCACTGGTTGGTTCTTCTATGTGCCCTGACCAAGGATCAATCCTGCAACCTTGGTGTATTGGGACGATGCTCTAAGCAACTAAGCCACCAGCCAGGGCTCACCCCAATAAATTTAATTTTTTTAAATCCCCATACAGACTCATAGAAGAATAAGAAGCAGACCAAGTCCTTAAAATGAGCTTAAGGATATAGAGGCAGAGGTAACATATATTTATAAAATAAAGAGGAAGGTCATTCTTTTCCTTTTTACACTTCACTTTTTCTGAAAAAAAGCTAAAATGTTACTTTTTCTCATAGTACCCATGCAAAATGAGTACAAACCTGCTGCTTTGAAAAGACAGGAGAAGGAAGGGGGAAGACCCAGTGTGGAGTGACCAACTATTAGTCCTCAACCTGTGTAGCCTATTAGGACAAAAAGGATTTCTGAGCTTCACGGTATTATTTTTTTAAAATACATTTTATTGATTTTTTTACAGAGAGGAACGGAGAGGGATAGAGAGTCAGAAACATCGATGAGAGAGAAACATCGATCAGCTGCCTCCTGCACACTCCCTACTCGGGATGTGCCCGCAACCAAGGTACATGCCCTTGACCGGAATCGAACCTGGGACCCTTGAGTCCGCAGGCCGACGCTCTATCCACTGAGCCAAACCGGTTAGGGCTTCACGGTATTATGGATAGGATCCCCACCCAGTCAGCCCACAAGACTCAATGATGTAAAGTTGTTTAAAAAAAAAACCAAAACCCACACAAACAAAATCCCATCATTTTAATAACTTAAATAAAATGTGTTTAAAGTTTTAGAACCTGAGAAAAACTAGGCTTAATTCTAAGCAGCAAATGGTGAACAGTTTTCCTCAAGTACCTTGAGGCAGCTCTGAGATATTAGGGGCAGAAATGAAAACACAAATTAAGAAAGACTTGGCTCCTACTAAGGACTGAGAGGAAAGAGAAGTCTGAGAGCCAGTCATTCCAGAAATCAAACGCTGCATTGTTGCTCTGAAGCACAGAGGAGCCTCAGAGACTATCCAGTGCCCCTCCCTCCAGGGCCTTGCAGTGGGAGGAGACCCACATGAAGGCGGAGGGGAGCTGCAGGCAGCAGAAGCCCACCCGCAGGGCCCAACCAGCTTCCCTTATCTGGGATCTGCTGGAGGAGTCCTGGTCCCAGTGGCACCCACACCCCACATACAGACTGTAAAAGGGAAAGATAAGACAACAGGAGGAAAGGCACGCTGAGGAGAAAGACACCTGAACAACCAAACAAATGACTCAGACTCACTCGGGAGACTACATTCAAAAAGGACAAGCACTCACACCGACCTTGTTTAAGGAACATGAATAATTACTTTAGGGTGAGACACAGGAAAAGTTTTACTAAGACATTTCAATCCAGAGAAGAACAAAAGTGTTTCTGAAATGTCAATGTGAAATAAATTCAAATGGAATCATTTCAAAAGGTCTTCACAAGAGGTAATTATGAGGACAAAATTTTATTCAAAATTTAATTCTACTCATTAAGAAGAGTTCTGATTATGCCACTTGTAGGGGGGGAAAACACACCTTTATAACCACATCTAACATTCCTTGGAGAATTTATGAAAATATCCTAAATCCCTGTGGGGTGCTAAAGGGAGAACAGAGGGTGGCTCTATTCAACCCTCCTCCAAACCCTGTCAGCACTGTGCCTTCCAGCCCGGGGGGGGGGGGGGGGGGGGGGGGGGGGGGGAGACTGCCGTACTCAATCCTGTGTGGGAAGGCTATTGACTCATGCCCAGCCTCCCACCCTGAGCCTTCTAAGTCACAGATGGGATTAAAAATACAATGTTCTAGGGCCCTTTTAAAGAAAATCTTTTCTCCCTCAAAACAC